GCCGAATCCGGACATCCGCCACACCAGCTGGACAGCCACAGTTTCCCAAGACCTTCCGCTTGACAACAACACCAGCAAGCATACGTTATACGTATACACCTGCTATTTTAAGATCCCATCTCAAACCAAGGTTCACCAGGGGTATGACATGAGACCAACAGCATCCCTCACATCATGCCTCTGTCATATCAACTGATTCTGCAAGGGCACACCCAGGGCTCACGCAACTCAAACACCTGACTGACTCCTTATCTTATCGTGGTGTGATCCACGGCATCGGCCTCGGCCCGCTCTGGCCCAAGGGTCAGAGCTTCCTGGCCACACAATCAGCACGCTTTCGGAACCTTAATTGCAGAATTCAGAAGGTCTGCCGGTTGCAGACAGGTTGGGGAGCTGCATTTCCGCGGGTTGGGGGGGGTGGCAGCCGTCGTAGAAAAATCGAGCATGATTGCGCGGTCGCACGCAACGGGTAGGTAGTCTATGTCGTTTGTCTGTGTTGGGCAGCATTGGCGACCGGGAGGACGCGACCGTGCCGATATCAGCATACAATTACCATATCATAACGACTCAAGGGCAATTATCATTAGGTAGAGGATACTCAGTCAGACTCGGCTAGCACGGCGTTCCAGCCCAGCCCAGCTAGATGGTGGTGGTCGGGTGAGCCGAAGAGTTTTTTTCCTTGCGCGGGAGATTTTCTTTCTATGCGCGGTTTTCGCACAGGGGGCCGGGCGGGTTTCCTTCTGATAAGAGTGGCAAGTTTGGCGGAGAAATTGTTAAGGTTCGCTGCGGTTCTAGATGCCCCACTATACTCAAGGAAGCATAGACTGGCCCTGACAGCTTCGATCCCAACGGTCTAGGTCCCCTTTCCGGCCATCACGCCTCTCGGATCGATTGTGCCGCGTAAGAAGAAAATTTTGATCGGGTGTATGATTCACTACACCATAGCATAGATAGTACTGTGTAGTTCTATCAGGAGATGATCCTAAGGGGTAAGAAAAAAAGTTATATAAACGCTTTGTCGAGCTGGTCCTCCTCGACTTTCTTTTCTCTCATCATCCAACAAAGCATTTTAATTCTAATACCTCCTCCTCTTCCCAACCATACAACACCAAAGCCCATCCGGGTTAATTTCCTCCACACACCACCTTTCAAAATGACTATTCCCTTCCCCATGATCGGCCCCGAGAGCTACGGCCTCTACACTCGCCGCGCTGCTCCTCGCAACGTTGCAGAGGACGCCCTCGCCAAGGAGCTCGAGTCCACTGATGTCTCCCGCGGCCAATTGGGCTCGCGCAGCTCCTCCGCTGCCACTATGGCCACCACTTCCACCACCTCTTCATCCTCCAGCTGGAGACAGAAGCTTTCTCAAAAGTGAGTCACCTACTTTACTTCACCATCTGCCTCTGCAAAATGCTAATGACTTGAAAACAGGTACAAGAAGTTCCACTTCGCTTGAGTCTCCATCCGTCAATGTGAAACACATTACCACCACATCACGAAACCAACAAAACCACCATCATAAATAATCAACCATGAAAACCACTGAGCATATCCGCTCTGATACGACATATAACGGCATTTTCGGAGGAGTCTAGAGGGTTATGAGCGGGGCGGGGAGTTTCTTTTTCACCTGTGAAAACTTTTTTAATACCTGTTACTACTTAATTTTGTCGGCGGGCATGTATATATGAACGCTTTAGACTTACATATTCATTTCACGTTACCTCAACCAAAATTCTACGAACTTTACTATCATCTCGAAATATTGTTATTTGTCTTGACTCGCGAGATGACCACAATTTTCTGCTTAGGAAATATTTTGTGGAAGTTGATCGTTTTGCCAATTCGTAGTGTATGTCATTCGTCTAGATGAAAACCGATCTCACCTACCAATTTTCCTATCTCGGAAATGGTCGCTGTTACAAGAGATGGTATTATCTACGAGTATTCACCCCGATCCACGATGCCGATCCCCTGGCCCTACCAAACACTAAGCAGCACCAAAGAAAAAAAAAATTCACCGGGTCATCTGCTCCTTCACACCTTAGCGTAGGAAACAGGGGGCACCGGGTCGATCGGGTCCCAACGGGAACGGCGGCATCGTCAGGGCCCTCGGCCAATCCAAGCATACAATTGCTAAGGCCAATTGTTTCTTTTTTCGGAACAGCGACCGTGCGCAGGAAGTCGGCCGGGATTTTTTCCTTAGCGTCCGACTCTTCGGGAGTCTTCGCGTGGCGAATTTCGATGCTCTGACTAGCTTAGTGGGCTCCACATCCCGATTATCCAGGCTCTTCGTCTCGGTCGGTGAGTCAAAGCGCGAGGCACCGCAACGTGCGCTGGAAGATAAGGGAACCGGTTTTCATGTTTGCTTTACTCAATTGATCCGCTACCTGTCGGTCGAGAACAATGGTAGGATATGCCGATCATTTCGGGATGTTCGAGGATGCGAACCGGAGTTGCTGACTCGGGGGGTTGGAACAAAACCAAGCTTTTTGGGTGTGGCCCGGTGAGAGGATTGGGTTTGTCTTTATCGCTTGTTCGCTCGCCTTGTTAGGGCGTTCTCGACGATTAGAATGCCTTGCTTCTATACCTACCCTGGCGTTATATGGCCTCTAAATTGAAGGCCCGGCTCCACTTTCTGCGACCAAGGTAAAAGCCATGTGTTTGAAGAATATAATTCTGATGCAATATATATCCACACCCAAGCAGGCCCACCAACTCTGCATGTAATCCGGATGCATGCAAGAGTAAGAGGCCTCATACCATGAGAGTCCAGTCACATGATATGTTATAATGTTCACTTTCTGAACTGACTTTGTGTTATCGACACAAACAACACAAAAGGTTCAACTACATATTCCTAAAGACCGCATTATTAAACAGTATCGGGAGTAATCCGGCCACGTCATTCGAGGCGATCCCCTAGGCGAGTTGCCCACATTAGCGCTGCCAGTTCATCAACCAACCACCAAAAGTTCTACAAATGGTTCCATATTTCCCATTCCTCTCTCATCATACTGTCTACAAGCATCCCCTGGTCACAATTCTCGACCGGCAACTAGGGCCTTATTGATTCAGCACCACTCAGCGTGACTTTGCGATGACCTTGGTTTCAGGGCGCATAGACATCATTCCATACTCTTTCCGTCTCGGTGGTGCTAAGTGACTCCAGATTGGGCTTCTTGAGCGGCTGTATAGCAGCTATTCATCTAGCAGTGGGCTGGATTCCTTTAAGAAGTAAGGATGCTAGCCCACTACAGGATATCATTAATTTCAATAAGTACCAAGGCCGAAAAACGACCAAGCCTATATCATTACCACTAGGGTTTTATATACATATGTAAACTAGCACCAACCTAGATTACCTAGTCTACTAGTATCAAAAATGTCAAGTAGATAACAGAAGTATATGTATACAGGAATGAGTGGGGACAAAAAAGGCCCCGGAATGCGATCTGTAGTACCGGGTTCGAGGTAAGTTGCCGGCCCCAGCCTACAGCATGGGGCTTCGGCGACAGTAAATTGACTGCGGCAGATGCCGGAGCGGCAGAATACCTGAAGATGGTGAAAAGGTATTATAAACAGAACCAGAGGCCAAGTAGAAGTAAATATTAGATAGGTAGAGAGCTGGATTAAGCCTTTACTACATACCTATCATATCAAGCTTATCTTACTTACCCTTTGATTCGTATTCATTCCTTATATCAATACTCCCTAAATGAAAATAGGAGTTGAGCACGCAGTAGTTTGTATAGCCGCTTTAGATGAAGGACAAGCTATGAATACTGGAGATGTAAAGGGCTCCATTCGAGAGTCAAACACAACATAGATTCAAGAATCGATGAATCAATCATATCCAAGAAGGAACTCTAGTTGCTCATAGCCTACACTCAGATGAGGCAATAATTCAGTGGATATAGCCCGACTACTCTCTAATAAACAAAGAAGCAGTATACAGCACTCATAAGATTCTCAGACACTCCCACGATCGTTGGGAGGAGAATGTCAAATTTGGCACGAGGGAGCGATTGTTCTTGCTTAGCCAGCCCTTGGGTCGAACTTCGATAGGATCGCAAAAGGCCTTCCTTTCCGTGTTGTTGACATGATTGCACGCGGGGATGGCAGTATACACAAATTGTTGGTATAATAAGGTCTCCTTGTCGATACTTGAACGAAGACCTTCTTACCCGATGAGAAATGGACTGGCCGCATATAGTCACACTTGTGGCGGGCGAGTACATTCCTGCAACTAATAGCCACCACCAGAAGACCAGAAAGGGTTTCGGTTCGCTCTCCGAATATCCGGTGTGGCATTGATGGAGGTGGTTGGATGAATTGCAAGCAGTGCTCATTGAACAATGAATAAAGACACCTAATACCCTGAACAAAGCAGAAGCAGAAAAGTGTTCATCTAGTGTAGCCGTTGCTATCCTCGCCCCACGGACAGCACTCGATAAATTCTTGCTGGTCCATCGGCGCACATGTTGAAGATGAAAGGAAGAATTCGATGGAGGTCTCGAGGTACGCTGCTGGCCACCAGTGAGGTCCTGTCATATAGCTGTGTCAGTCTTCGGAGCTCCTTGTTCACCTTGCTTTGAGCTTCTTTAGCCAGACGCAGGTAGCGGATACAATGCTTTGTTCTAGATTTGTGTAGAAGGATCCTTTTTTTTTGCATCGCACAGCACAATGAGTGCTAGGGGCAAAGGATTGCAGGTGATTGTTGCTATGTTTTTGATAAACCATTCCTTTCCCTTATTCTTCAATCCACTTAGCTGCAACCATAACGGTGTAATCAATTGGAAATTCCCATCAATGTCTCCTTCAATTGCATTTGGGACTTGAAATGCGAGCGCTATCTTTATTCCCACACTAGCTATATATAGAACCACGCGCCCTCGACTTCGACACCCCACCGCCATCACGACCACCTTGAGTCTATCAAATCAGGAGGCAGGGCACCAATCACCACAAGCTGTTGCTCCTCTGAGGAAAAAGCCACCATGTCGTCGGGACAAAGCTTCTTCAAGATGCTCCCGGGTCCGCCGCTCGATTCCGTTCGAGTCATTCACCTGCAAAGCAGGCCGGACTACTGGGATAACGAGAAAATCCGGGCCATGATTGAAAAGAGCATGGAGCGCCCACCGCGAGAGGCAGATCGCATTCCCCAGGCCGAGGCCACAGCTAAGATCTGGACGGCCATTTGTCCTTGATGCTCTCAGCGTTCCGCCCTCGGTCAAGGACCCTAAACCTGGCCAGGAGCCCCAGCGCCTCGAGGTCGACATCTGCCAACTTGGCAGTACCGACTGGGAGTCGCGGCACGAGGGCCCGCTGGCCGTCATCCTCACACGCGCCAGATCCAAGGACGCGCCCGACCGCCACACACCGGCCGTGCCCTTTCTCCAAGTCTTCTGCATGGACGGGACGGAGGAGCCGCCCACGCTGGACGAGGCGCGCGCCCTAGCGGACTGTTGGGTGCCGCGCCAGAGTCGGTGGGAGATCCGGGAGGCAGGCGGCGCGTTTATCCTGGCCAAGGGCCACCGCATGTCGATCTTCCAGTGGAGACCGGAGTGTTCCGACTGCGACCCGGAAGAGTTGACCCTGTTTCCCTGGTACGGCGGGGACATAGACCATGGGTACCGCTGCCTCTGGCATGACCACGAGGAGGTCGAGCAGCTCATGAAGACCCTGCGTCGCCGGATCCAGGATTGCCCCATCGCGTACGAGCACCGGCCGAGTAAGGATTGCTGCGTCGCAATAGAGTCTGATTCTGAATGAGCGGCTCTCCCTCGTCCCGCTCGCCCACTCTCGTGTCTGAGCTGACGGCTTGGCCCGAACTTCCCGAATTTGTAGTATCAATGCACAATCTGATCTCATAATTTCTTTCCTTTCATTTCTGAATCCCTCTCTCTCTTGCAAATTGCACTCATACATTACCCCGTCTATCCACGCAACAACCAGATTACTGTACCTTTAGTCAATTATCACTATAAATCCTATCTGATCCACCCTCGATCCCACTGGAAGAGGCAGATATGTACAGAGAGGAAGGATTTCTCCGTGGCTGCGCCCCGGACCTCATTCACGCACAAAGCGTCGCCATCACTGAACCACCGACTGAACCACCGACTGGACCACCTGATCCAACTCCTCCACCTCCAGCCCCAGCCGGGCATTCCAAGAACCCCCGGGCACGCGGCTCCAATCGCCGTAGGGCCCATCGGGAAACCTCCCCAGTCCGGCCGCCAGGTTCAGGATCCGCGCGCCGGCCAGATCCCCCTGATTGAAGCGCTCCGTGCTCTCTTCGATCAAGGGCTTCAGGTCCACGCGCTGGACTCTTGCCCCCCGTCGCCCGCTCGAGCGCCGCGAGGACCTCGTTCTGCGTCACCGTGAAGGACTCGACGTAGACGTATTGGTTCTTGGTCAGCTCGGCATGTCGGAGGATGGCAACCAGTGCCCGGCCAATCTGCGAGAGGGTGCTGACGGAGCCCGGGGTGACGCCGTCGTCGTAGATGGTGGCTTCGTGGGTCTGCAGGTTGAAGCCCAGGAATCCGATCTTGAGGGCCTATTTCCGAGAGAACCGATGTTAGAGATCTGTCGCGAGAGTAGAGAGAGAATTGCGGATGATGACGGAGAGTGTTGTAAGCGGTGCTTGGGATAGAGGGGTAGATGAACCTCATCCGGGAACAATCAACGTAGGATACAGGGGGGGGGGGGGGGGGGGGGGAGGAATAGTAGACACGAGAAAGACAACTCACATAGTCAAAGAAGGCGCCGGTGATGACTGTCGTCCAACTCATCTGATCCTCCCTCGCTCGCAGGTAATCGACCTTGGCTTTCTTGCCCTCCAACATAGGCGCCAGAGCCCGGACTCGCTCATCGGCCGAGTTGTTCCCAAACTCGGCGGGAATGAATCGTTTGACCCCGGCTGCGAGGGCCGCGTCGACCAGGTTCTGCTGGGCAGCGTAACCGCCTCGTCCAACGACGCTGATGACCGCATCCTGGTCCTGGAAGGCGGAAACCAAGGATTCGTGGCTGTAGTCGGACCGAATCACGGGCACGCCCTCTGGGAACACGCTCGTTGAAGAGTCCCGGGAAAGCACGGTGACGCGGAATTCGTCAGCGGAGAGAAATGCCTTGAGAACATGGGGCCCCAAGTTGCCTCCGGCCTGGAATCATGCGAGGAGTTTCACTGGTTAGTTTCCATTTAGAGACGGTGGTTCTCTGAGACGCTGTGCTTACCCCGACTATAACGACGTTTCTCAACGAGGATGCCATTTCTATTCAGATATATTGGTCTCTGCGTGACGAGTCGAGTGGAAGATGAGAAGATCTGCTCTGAATGACATTAGTAGTCACAGCTAGATGTAGGGCCTTTTATACACTTTGAGAGTGTCCTGTATTGGTAAGCATTGCAATAATGCCATCTACACATACTGCCTGGAAGCGAATCAAATGCGACGAAGAAAGGCCTTCTTGTCTGGCGTGCTCCAGCAGGGGATATGATTGCCCGGGATACCAGAAGGCCGTTAAATGGTTGGCGAAGTATGAATTACGCGAGTCGAATTCCTATGCGCAGAGCGTGCATCCGTCGGCAAATGGCCCCGGAACTGGACCCTCCATGAGCTGGTTTCTGGATCCTGCAGAGAAGCTGCGTACCGCTCTGCAAAGCCATCCTCCGCCCGTGCTGAACCAAACCTCATCTTGTGAAAGCCCCTCTGCTCGTCATGTTCATGGGGAGTGCGACAATTCATCTGCGAGCCAGCTATACCTTGATATCTCTGAAGGAGTACGGGAACAGCCGAACAGCCAGGTTCCTGGCGGCCACGATGCCCACGACCAATTCGACGGAGATGACTACACGTGTGTCTTGGATAACTCCTTGCCAGGCCAAAGCTTAGCTTTCACCCCACGTCGCATCTGCCGTGGCAACGGGGATACGCGAGGGGATAATGAAATTGATTTGCCTGATCTTTGCCCTCTAGCAGACACCTGCACGATATTACGGGCATATTATTTTTATCACACATGTCGTATCCTCTCCGGGTTTGACTCGCCGACAAACCCTTTGCGCGAGTGGGTTTCCAAGCTCTCAACACAAAATGATGTGGTCCATTCCTGCGTCCTGTCAATATCGGCCGCCCATATTTCACAGCAGGAGCACGGAACCAGTACACTGGCATTGGGCCATCACACGCGTGCACTCTGGAGCCTCGCAACCTCGGTTGCGAGCTTAGATGGTGCGCTGCTCGAGTCAACTGTACCGGATGCTGAGAGGAAGTCAGTCGCAAGAAGGAGTGAATCCATGACTGCATTGCTCTTTGGTATTACCATATTCGGCATGACGGCGGTATGTTGGAATTTTCTGTCTCTTCCCTTCTCCATCTTCGTTTCTGTCATGATCTCTTCTCCTTCGGTTCGTGATTGCTGAAGATACGTTCCGCTCTTGCTTCATGTGTAAGACCTTGCATGGAAATGCCAGCTAACGTCGGTTCAACTCCTAGTCTTGGCATGATTCCTCGTCGCTTGGAACCCAACACCTGCAGGCGGCACGGGCGATCTTCCGAGCATTATACCCACACCCAGACGGATCCCTCGGAATCAACACACGAGGGCTCGGCGTCCCGCGCGCCTTTTCCATTCCAGACCGTTCCCATTGCGCTCATGCTCCCGCTGCCACTGCCGCTGCTGCTCCGCATCACTTCTTTGTCGGCGCGTTGGCCTACTGGGAAGCCCTGACATCGTTCGTCGTGGACCAAGAAGACATCGAGGGGGCCGAGTACCTGATCGCCTCTCGGCCGCGTGTGAGCCATCAAGGTACAACTCGAGGGATGCTTAAAGATCCCCATCCATGGAGCGGGATCTCGCCGGAGCTGTTCATCTACCTCTCGGAGATTGGTGCGATCGCCAGACGATTTCATTATATCCGGAGGGATCAGTCAACCTATATGGCAGGAGACGGAGGAGGCTCGACTGCGTTCCAACTTCAGGCGCAGCGTAACGATCTGCGCTCACGTGCCGGGCGACTCAAAGCATTGGTATCGCAGTACCAGGTTCCACCTCCTGAAGCTGTGCGGGCAACTGGTGACGCACTTGCGCCCGCCGACCATTTCCGCACCTTGGCGAGAGTGTACCAGCTTTCAGCCCTGTTGGAACTCTATCGAATGTTCCCTGAGTTGGAGCAGCAGGATGATCCTGCGTCTGGGCCGTGGCTGTCTTCGCATGAGGCTGCTTTGGAGCAGGGTGTGAATGACGAGCACCGACGAAGACAATCGCATGCGCGGGCGGTTGGCATTCTGTCGTTGATTGCCTCTATCCCCGAGACCTCGAGCACGCGGGCAACTCAGATGCTGGCTCTCGTCATTGCTGGGAGCACCCTGCAGCCTTTGCCGGTCAATGATGGAGTGGGCCTATTGTCTTCAGGGAGAACGTCAGGGGCTGGTGCAGGAGGGGCTATCACGCCACCATCTTACGCTACTCCGACTACTATGGCTAGTACTGCACAAGCGGACATCCAACCTTGGCGAGCGTTTGTGGCCGATCGGCTTCGGAATCTAGCTTGCTACGTCGGCCTGGCGACCGTGCAACAGGCAGCCAGAATCGTGGAAGAATCCTGGGCTCGAGCAGACAGCCAGGCGGCCGTAGGGTTGGTCGGGCACGGGGCGGCGCGAGTCATGTCTCAGCGGGGTCTGGTTGTACATTGGATCGACGTCATGATCGAGTGTGGGCTGGAGACTATCTTGGGCTAGAAGGCAGATTACGATTCGGAGGTGACACACCTCGTTGGTAGGGAGGGGTACATTGCCCATCCTTCTCGCACACTAATGCTTCAGGATAGAAACTTGTTCACTGTGTTTTGATGGGATTCGTGGAAGCTTTCCTTTCACTTCTCACAGTTAAGCTCAAGGAACCGCAGCGAACAATCAAACTATACCCCAGCAGAAATGCGCCGAGGGGTACGTACGTACTGTATGTACATGTGTAGCTGTAGGGTTCATCGATCGATGAACCCCACCCGATCGCCGGATCGATCGGGCCCCCGCGCGCCAGTACCACGGAACCACCCCGATAATGTCACCATGCGTCAACAATGACCACAATTGATCGAATCGAGTGGTCATTCTAGAATCATAGCTACGTTCCTTTGACCAGCCAGATTGACGTCAAGCTTACATTGACCCACATGTAAAATATTCAAACGCGCAGATTGAGCATATATAAACGCTCTGCAATCTCCATCTTCAATCCACTATACCAATCCAAGCTTATTGTCTCAAACACCGATACCGGCAATTCAATCTTCTCCTCACTCAGTTCTATCCCAGACAATCCAACATGCCTCAGTACAGCAACGGCCAAGCTATCCGCTACAAGCCCGTCGGCGGTACGATCCCCTTTCTCTTTTCCTTGACCTCTTGAATACCCCCCCAACCACACAACAATGCAGAACTGACACCCACGCTCAGGCCCCAACTCCAACACTTCCGAGAGTGTCGGCACGATCAAGTCCGTCTTGACCGAGCCCGGCATGCAGGCAGACCGCAACGTCGATGCCAGCGAGGAGAACCCCCGCTATGAGGTATGCTGTGCTGGACCTTCATAACACGGAAAATCATTTGCTAATAAGGGCATGGTCCCAGGTCGAGAACCAGAACACGGGCAAGCTGACCAGCATCTACGAGAAGAACATTTTGGGCAGTGCGTGAGATGATGATGTCGATGTATTATGTGGGATATGAGGCTTTACGTCAATGATGTAATGTTATGATGCGATAGGATAAGATAATGCAGAGTAATAATAATCTGGTATCTTTTTATTGCGGTGGTCAGTGGGAATAACTGGTCTGCTGGCCAATCTTCTGTGAGAATATGCCATATTGGGCATCTGAAAGCTCCTGTTCCGCAAGTCTTGGAGTTTGGATTTACATGGCAGCGGGTTACCACCAGACAGCCAGAGCGGCCCACCGGCGCCTTCCATCAAGACACTCACCAAAGCGTTTATGTACGATTAATAACATGTCATCTGATTTCTTTTTATCATTAGAAACGCAAGGTAGGTATGAACTTCGTTACAATAACATACAAATGGGTATTAAATGTTGTATACACTAGTTTAAGCTCTACACTTTAATCAATGTCTGAATTTAAGGCCTTTAACTACCCTTCAAAGCAAACAAGGCGTCTTCAGACCCTTTTGGCTGGACCTTAAAGCTCTCCTGACACATTCCCAAGTAGGAAAGGCCTCTCTAGGTATCCCCCTAGGTAGTAAGTAACCGAGGCCGCCACTCTAGATACATTCCTAAACAAGCAAGGCCTCTCCAGCAGCACGGCCACGGTAGAAATGCACATAAGCTTGGCAACGGTGACATCAAGAGACACCAAGAACTGCGAAACCACTAGTTTTACTTCAGCTGGGAGATAACGTTAAGAAACTGCTGCGTCGGCGGGAACGGGCCCAGGGTGGGGATCGCCTTGCCCATCTTGGCGGGGGATGCTGCCTGGAAGCGGTAAGAAGTGGCTGTGCTGTGCATTGGCATTGCCTGTTTGTCTCTTCCTAGCCAATCATCCACCCTTGGAGATCTCTTAGTGACAAGCAGTTTTGATCCATAGCGGAGAGCGATGAAGGATTCCTACCTTACTAAGCGGCAACCCCGACACCTGCTGTACTCGAATCGCACATGGAACTTACACATTCACCTAAAGCCGAGACATGTACCGGAGACTGTTTTTGCATGTATGTAATGACGGAGCTTGGGGAGCCCTGGGGAATGTGTGAGGTTTTCAACGCTGTCAAAATTAGCGTAGCTTCGCTGTTGTCTATAGCACAGGCTTGGCTTTGCCGGTGGCAAACCGCGTCTAGCGAATTGTGATTAAGCTCGCACCTCACGGCTTCACTAGCCAGCCCTGTATCCACGAGTCAGCCAACAAGGCTTCGCCTAAGACGTAGACAAGGACTCGCTAGAGCACCTTGAATTCTTCCATGCACACATAATCTCGGTCCTAAGCTCGTACTCGTATAGGATCGTACTCCGTATGCACGTGCCATTCGATTATTTTTGGCGGGAGTGTGGGGCGGGCCAAGACCATGCAGCTCAGTACAGCGGCCGATTTGTCTCGGTTTTGAAATCGCGCCGACAACTTCAACATTGAACAATCACCAATATACTGAACACATTGACACTTACCACAGCTTGGCTTTACTTCAGCATGCATCGTCTACAGCAAACATGCGTCTCCATTCAGAAATCAGCCAACACTGGACAAGATTTGAGTCTAATAATGGCACAAAGAAGCTCATACTGGGCATCTAGTACTAGTTGGGAAAACTCTCGAAAAACCACTACACTGTGCCTGAGTGAATGCGTGGAAGGTGCCGTGAAACAGAAGGTATCCACTTCCAGGCACCAATTCACTGACAGAAGTGAACAAAAAGTGGTCGTTGTAGAGATTTTCAGGGGCACATATGCAAAGACTATTAAATCGACAACAAGGCAAATGTGAGAATGGCGGAAATCCCCAGATCAATATCCTCGTTGCCATCATGCCGTTTCTTGGGTTTTTTCTCTTTATCTGCTATCTCTACCTCACCGGTACTATTTTCTTCGATGGAATGCACTATCTGCTCCATCGCTGGGCACGGTCAGAGTGGAAGATCCTGCGCCAGCTCTCCCGCTACCACCAATACCATCACCTCTACTACGGCCGCTTGCTCCAGTTTAACCCCAAATACATCAGCTTAAATGCACGGATCGCCCTTCCACTCGAGCTCTTTTGCCAACTGCTGGGGAGCGTTATCGGGTGGTCACTTGCGAGAGCGGTCTGGTTGTCCCCGAGCAGTCATTCCGATCGCAGGGCTCTGCTCCTCGTCCTCCTGATCCAAACGGGGAGAGCCCTAGCCGTGATTCTTAATGATGGCAAGGACTCCAACCACATCTCCTACGACACAATTCCAAAAGACCGGAGCTGGGCTTTCGTGGGCCCCGAGTATCATGCCCTGCACCATCATTACCCGGACAAGTACATGGGATCGGCGATCAAGGTCTTCGACTGGGTGGCGGGCACGGCATACTCTCTTCGCGGCAAGACCGTCGTTATGGTCGATGGTTCCGGAGAGTTTGGACAGGCGATGGAAAAGCACCTCCTAGGGGAACGGGTCAAATGCGTCCACAAGCTGAGTTTCAAGTTAGGCTGCTCGCAACAAGACAACGCCCGCCTGCTCACCATGCTGGAAGAGGCGGACATTCTCATCCTCGCGCACGACACGCAGAGCATAGCTGGCACAGAGTCAAACTTCACATCGTCAATCCGGCTGGTTCAAGAGTTCCTGCGATTCAAAGCGACACGCAGAGGCAAGGTGCTCCCGGAGATTTGGTATGTTGGTTGCGAGTCGGAGCTGCCCCTGCCGTGGGGAATCATCCATGCCCGAAAAGATTCTGTTCCAGCCAAGCCATCCTTCCTGCCTTATGCTCGCTCCCTTTATCGTTCCTCGCAAGTTGTCTATCGCCATATCGTGCTTCCAGTATACCACCACCCGACAACGAGATTCTTTGCGTCGCCCGACTGGGTTGCCCGTGCGGTGCTGTGGTGGATCCGCCGAGGAGCTCACTTTGTTCCGGTGACTTGGACCGGGCGGGCGTATTCGCACTTTCTACCGCTGTTGTTTGGCAATGCGGTAGACATGGACTGGACGGACGAGAGGAAGGATACGCGCAAGGGCTTTCCTGTATTGAAAAAAGACGAGTTAAGGTGTATTCACGAAAGGGGAGAGGACTGCATGGCCAGCGCCTAGAGATACCTTTATTTTTATGGCACCAAAGTACATCTACCATAATTCTTTGTGTCCGCCAATAGGTCATACAAACCCAGTGAGCCATCCGTTGTGCGTTCAAGGTAAGGTTTATCGGCTGAAAAAAAAAACGAATCGGACAAACACGATAGAACCAACAGCCCTGTATACCTGGTTACGCATCATCCTGCTGCTCTTATTCGCCATAACATATAGCATTCTGTCGTCGAGTCATTCCCTTAGCCAGTCGTCCAGTAATTTTCCTTATACCTGTTTGATTTCACCGCAACCCTTTCTCAACCTGGGTGAGCCTCTCTTTCTCACAGTAAGGCGGCGGAGGGCTGTCCGCCTCGCCCGCCACCAACCGCTCGACGGCCTCCGCATAGTTCGCCAACGCCTCCGTCTCATGCTGCTTTCGTGTCGAACTGCCAACCATCACATTCTCCACCTCTGGACCCCTGACTGCCCCCGCACAATCACATCCCTTCACACAACGAGAACTCTTCCGCGCCTGGACACACCAAACCAGCCCCATGACCGTCGTCCCCAACCATAGCATCATATTCACGAGATCAATCCAGACCGCCACCTTCATCCGAAGCAAAGAAGTCGTCCTCTCCCGGTACACTGACCCCACGCCCTCAGAGATGTAGATCGTCCCAAAGACCCCCGTCTGCGCGAGCCAGAGAACAAAGAGCACGAAGTCCCAAGCGGACCAGGCCGCGACCACCCGCCTCCGCCCCAGCGTGCAATGCGCAACGGCGGTCACAGCGGAGAGACACGCGACGGCTTGAGCGAAGATCCATTCCGAGGAGGCGCGAGATCGCGTTTCGGTAGCATGGGCCAGGTCGACCGCGTAGAGGGCGGCGACGAGCACCGCGAAGATGAGTTGGAGGGTGCGGATGATGGCTCGCGTAGTGACACCGGATGAGGGTCTTGCGTCGGGATGGGGGCATTGGTGGGGGCTTTCTTCTTTGTCCTTCATTGTTTCTTTTTCTCTTGTGCTGTTTGTTCTGGATGCACTGCGGTGTATGGCGTTGTGATAGCGATGAAGGGGTAGGAGCACTCGGGTGGATTTCGGCCAAGAATGACTGGAGCAGATGGGGTGAATAAGACTGGGCACGCCTTCCACAATATATAGGCATGTAAGTATGTGATTTGATTCGGAATCTAGATCTATACTCCACCAGCGAGTCTGTTCAGACAGGGCAGCCTACATATAGGTTTAGAGTTTCGGCAGTTGATCTTGTATGTTGTCCCCATCCGGTAATTCTCTCGTACTCGCGGAAAAAGTGACCCACTTCATCTAACTTCCCCACTGCAGGCTTCTCCTGCAACCATGATCGAGAATCTCGCAACGTTTTTTTTTTCTAAAGTGGTCAGGTATCAAACGTCACAGAATTCTCTTCGGCAGTGATTTCAATATCCTGTCCAGTGGAAATGGAGTGGGTGGTGTGAGATCATCCCCTGTGCTATTTTTACAGCTTTTTCGTCATGCTCAAGTTTGAGACGCCGTATAGATGCACGGTAGAAATTTCCAGTCTGGCAGATTGAGCCCTAACGGATGTCTGGTACTCTGGTGGGTGGTATTGAAGCTTACGCACGACTAAGCGCCTTCGTAATCTACAAGCCTTTACCTTTGCTTCCATACAGTGGGCGCGGAATTTGAAACAAGAGGAATGTTCAAGACCATCACGTAGAGTTGGTTTGAGTGACAGGCCGCGACTCGTAAACAGCCGCGCGGGCTGCAACGGACGCGGGGCTGTCTCTGTGTCTATATATGTACCAGCTAAGTTACTCCGAATAAGCATATTCTACCCCCCCAACTCAACCTTAAAAAGGATACTAATACCCATTGTGTAATTAGGATCGCTCCCCACACCTTCATTGATCAGTGGAGCTTATATCGGTCACTGAAGGTGGTCGTCGGAGCAAAGTACTCACCAAGTAGAGGGTGCTGCTGTGGAGCTTACAGGCAAAGTGCAATCCATCAAAAGAATTTGAACTACTTGACAGGTTAGATGATCTTATCAGGAACAGTGACCGGTGCCTTGACAGCACCATGGACGCAATGCTTTTCAGGGCTTAAAATAGCGTCGGGTGCTCTCCGGCCTCATCCCGAGATATTCCCCGATCAGGAAATGACGCCGTATTCGTACCCTCAAGCTTCCTTGGCGATTGACATTCAACCCCTGTCAAGAAAAGGCTATATAGGTTTCGAGTTCCGTTCTGAATGATGAAAACACATCCCTTGCATCTTGGCCAGTCTCGCCTATCTCGCCTCTACCGGTTTCAACGCAACTTCAACGCCGCCGAACGCACAATGTCCGCCGCGCCTCTCGCGCCCCGAGGGGAAGCCTCCTTCGACCTCTACGCCTACAACCCCTCCGCCGCCGCGGGCTGGGCCTTCGTCGTGATCTTCGCCCTCGGCGCCGCGGTGCACCTCTTCCTGATCTTCCGTCTCCGCGCGTGGTTCTTCATCCCGTTCCTGCTAGGGTGTATCGGTGAGTTTGAGCCCCCCCCCTTCAAACACAGTCGACCCTGGCAACGCCACCGGCTAACATCCACCAAAAACCACAGGCGAAGCCTTCGGCTACTACGGCCGCGCGTGGTCGCACAACCACATCCGCAACGGCAGCCCCTATCTCCTGCAGCTGATGCTGATCCTGGGATCGGCGCCGCTGCTCTCGGCCAGCGTCTACATGACGCTGGGGCGGGTGGTGCGGGCCCTGCACGCCGAGTCGGCGACGGTCATCCGCTCGACGTGGATGACCAAGATCTACGTGCTGATCGACATCGGCAGCTTCGTGTGCCAGATGATGGGGTCGGCGATGCAGGCCAGCGGCGACGCCGACGGGGTGCGCACGGGCCAGCGTGTGGTGATCGGGGGCCTGGGGGTGCAGCTCGTCGCTTTGGGGTGGTTCCTCGTCGAGGCCGGCGCGGTGCATCGCCGGCTTCGTACCAGGCCGCCGTCGGCCGCGGCGCGCGATCCTGCGGTGCCGTGGTCGCGCACGATGTGGACGTTGCATGCGGTCACGGGGTTGATTACGGTGCGGAGCGTCTATCGGCTGGTGGAGTTTTTGGCCGGCACGGACAGTGTGTTGAGTAAGAAGGAGGCGTTTTTGTATGTCTTTGACGCCTCGTTGTTGGCTGTTGCTGTGTTTGCGTTTGCGGCGGTGCATCCCGGGAGGATGTTGCGGGTGGTCAGGAGGATGGGGCATGATGGGTTGTTTGATGGGGTCGTTATGTTGGACTAGGTGCTTTGCTGGGATGTGTGGCTCGTGTTTTTGCTTCTGGACTGGCTGGTTCCGGTCTTGTGTTCTTTGCTGGCATGGAGATCTTTGTTTTGGATGGGAGTTTGGGGTATGTGACCTTTCCATAGGTACACATGGAACCTTTATTTTGGCAAGTCGGGATTTTTTCACTTTCAAGATCGGATTGCAGACACCAGATTCTCTATGCTTCGCTATGTGCCAGAGCTGTATCGCAGGAGATATGCGATATCAAGAGCATTACCAAGATTTATATTATCTACACTATTGTACGTATAACGCGGTCTAGGAACCATCTTCCACATCTCCCAGTATCTGCACCGCATCGTGGCTTGCATGGGTGAATGCGAGATAACATCACTAATCCTTCCACCCAACCCTCCTCGCCACCAGCTTCACGGCATACACAAGCCCCAACAGCACAGGCACCTCGACCAGCGGCCCGACCGTCGCCGCCAGCGCCTGGTTACTATCGGCCCCGAAGGTCGCGACCGCCACCGCGATCGCCAGCTCAAAGTTATTGCTGGCGGCGGTGAAGCTCTGCGTCGCCGCCAGCCGGTACCCGAAACCCAGCCGGTAGGCCACGAGCAGCGTTGCGAAGAAGATCACCGCGAAGTAGACGATCAGCGGCGCCGCGACCCGCACCACGGACACGACCTGATGCACCACGTGCCGGCCCTGCGATGCGAACAGCACCAAGATCGTGAACAGGAGCCCGATGAGCGACCACGGGCTCGCCCACTTCAGAAACACTTCGTCGTACCACCGGGGGCTGGTGGCCTGGCGCAGCGCGAACCGCGTCACCATCGCCGCGCCCAGCGGGATCCCCAGGAAGACAGCGACAGATTGCGCCGCGGTGGCGTATTGGAAGTCGATGTTCTGGTCGCCGTTGATGACCCGGATGAAGAAGACGCCCATCGGCGCGAAGAGCACCATTTGCAGGAGGGAGTTGACCGCCACTAGGATCGCGCAGTATTCGCTGTCGCCGCCGGCGAGGCCTGTCCAGATGAGGACCTGCGGGTTGTTAGGGTTCGACATGGTACGAGTTGGATATCACGTGTTGTGTCTTCCGGGAGAGAGGGCCGCTTACCATGGCAATACATCGGGCCAGTCCAACGAGAATCAGTCCCTGGCGGAGTTCGGGTTCGTCTGGGAGGAATGCCCAGGATAGGGCCAACTACATTACAGCCCTTGTTAGCGGTACAATGGCAACGCTGTGGGTTTGGGTAGGGAAGGGGGACAGTACCATGAAGAACGGAGCAATAATCCAATTGACGATCAAACTGAAGGCGATCTGGATCCAGATCGCGCGGGTCTTGAAGACGCGGTGCAAGCTCTCAAAGCGCACTTTGCAGAGAATCGGGTACATCATCACCAGGAGGCCCACCGCTAGCGATTTCCGATTAGGATCTTCGTATGACGAGAGGGAGCTTGATGCTTCATGACGGAGAATACTTACCGATCGGGACCGAAACGCCCACAAACTTCCCTTTCTGGAGCGCAGGCCCCGTGCTGGGGACGAAGTTTCCCAGGATGATGCCGATGGCCATCGCTAGGAAGATCCACAACGCGAGAAAGCGGTCCAGCAGGCCGAGGCTCTTGAACGCGGATGTTTTCACCTGGCGTGAGTCTAGCGTGGCTGCATCTGCTTGTTTCTCGATGTCGCTGGGCTGGCAAGATCTTAAGTCTTCGCCAGTGTGCACTGGAAGATGGTGTTCAGCCATCGCTGTGGTTGCACAGACCGACCCAGTGCCGGTAGTGTAGGAGCAAGAATGTGGCTCGTGCGGCCGTCGATAATTGGAGGGGGGGTGAAACAGTTATCAGCAATGGACAGTCACTGCAGAGGGTAGTAGATAGTAGACGAGAGACACAATGTGTAGAACCAAGCTTGATGAGTGCCCCCTCCTCGATACTCGATAATTTCTACTTCTGCACAACTATGTTGGGGCAATACGGAGTGCTGCAGGTGAATGTCACTGGTTGACGCTGATTGGTTGGGTGATGGAATGCACTGTGGGCGTAGGCTTGCCCCACTGAGCCCGCTGGCACGAACCCGCACTGATTGAATCTGATTGAAGCATCCAGAACCCACCCTCTTGTGTCTAGCAAATGACAAGCCGCGGGTGACATACTGCATCGCGATGCCGCTACTGTACCTCAGCGCTACCGGAGACTCTACCTGATGCGAACATTCATGCCTTAGGTATCTCCATACTTAGCTTCTCCATTGTCTCCCACCATCACAATTCCTAGAGCAGAACTCGCTTGACTTTCTCCTGTCACCACCATTATTTACTATGTCATACTATTGACTCAAAGAACAACTGAGCCACAATGACCGCCCCCGCTATCCCCTGGCATGCAATCTACCCCGCACCGCGAAGCACAGCGGTCGGCATCTGTCGCGAAGAAGTACTGCGATGGTTCCGCGCCCGCAAACAAGCCGGACGCGATTTTGTATTAGTCGATCTACGCCGGACGGACTTTGAGGTAGAGAGACATATGAAGATGAAGGCCGAGACGAACTAACGCTGACATCTACCGCAGGGAGGGACGATCCGAGGATCGATCAACCTTCCAGCTCAGAGTCTTTACCCGGCGATCCCAACATTCTATTCTCTGCTCAGCCAGAGCCCCGTGAAGGAGGTTGTCTGGTACTGTGGTTTGTTTACCTCACCACCATTCAAGCAGCAAAGCATGACGCTGATTGGGATTGAGGTTCCTCGAAAGGACGCGGCACGCGGGCCGCCAGTTGGTTCGCCGACTACATCGAACAGCAGGGAGAGACCCGGCTGAGGAGTCTCGTCCTGGAAGGGGGCATCAAGGGCTGGGTTGCGGCTGGGGAAGGATACACGGATCTGATGGATGAATATGACGCTTCTGTCTGGGCTAAATGAATACATAGCATATGGAAGCAATAGCCAGTTGGGGGTGAAAATATGTACTGATCTAAGTAGTCTATTTAAGTGCAGCAAAGACCATGATCAACAAAGTCTATCAGTGTATACATACAAAAGCGCACCGCTGAGGGCTAGACATGTTGTTCGACGCGGACCCTCTCGTCCTTCACCCGCTTCTCCTCCCGCTCACTGTACCGGTCCCCAAACAGCTCCAGGTGCGGTCGCATTAGGATGGTGTATTTGACAAACTCCTCCATGCAGTCCACCAGTCGGTCCCGGTTCCCACTCGGCAGTAGTCGTTGATCACCCGGCTGCCCCTCGTCCGGGAAGTGGGTGTAGGCTTTGGGAATTGACGACTGGTTCGGGATGGTGAACATGCGCATCCACCGGCCGAGCATGCGCAGGGAGTTGACGGCATTGAACGACTGCGATCCGCCGCATACCTGCGCAATTGCCAACGTGCGACCCTGCGTGGGGCGCACGCTGCCCGTGCTGAGTGGGATCCAGTCGATCTGGTTTTTGAAGACGGCGGTCTGGCGACAGTCTATCTATTAGTGACTGCTATGACCAGGACTTGATAGATAAATAGAAATACTGACAAGGTTGCCATGTTGTTCGGGAGACACCCAAACATGTCCATCGCTCCACTTGCTGAGCTCCCGCAGTTCCTGCACCTTGGGATGGGTGTGTTCGGTATCATTCTTCACCGGCAGCCCCTCGGGGTCGAACACGCGGACGTCACAGCCGAGACGGAAGAGGATTCGGCTGGCTTCTAAGGCCACCAGGCGGGAATAGGATCGCCGACGGAGACTGCCGTACAAGACGAGGATTTTCAGCCGGTTGTTAGACTTGGCCAGTTGCTGCGCCGCCATATCCATGGCGGTGGTCAACTCGAGCCTGTTGACCCAGTCTTCCGCGGCTCCTTCCTCAAGAATGAAGGGACGGTATTTGCGGCGGATGTCGGAGCTATCTTCGGCCTCTGGTATAGCGAGAGACACTGGGATATCGAAGGAGGGGGTAGTAAGGTTTGGCTGGACAGCTGCGGAAGAGGCCATGGTGCTGTCGTTCTTGGGCGGAAAACGGACCACTGAACGAGTGAATAGGCTAAATGGGTGTAACAAGGGAATTCTGCGACATGCGATCATTGGGTATTGTCTTTTTCTTTTGCTTTTGGAATGGAGGCAAGCAAATGAAGAATAAGTTACCGTTTATGGCACTGACTAAAATGTGCCAGATGATGCGTTCCAGTTATTTACAAACCTAAGTGACTTGATGGCTGCTCATAGCCCGACGGCGAGTATGTCACTGGCGTAAGCTGATTGGGCGGCATGAGCAGACTTAATTCGGAGAAACAGCCTTTGAAAAGCTTAGCCCCGGACTATTGTTGCTGCACCTCTTGCCTGCCAATAGAGACATGCATGGCGTTTCAAACCACTCCATACATACTATGGAAATTCATTCCCTGGATTACACGACCGCAGATGCATTTCCCCATGCAGAGGAACTGTACCCGTCCGTGATTGCTGTTCTCTTGACCTCGCTGAAGAGTTAAAACTAGTGGACCGAAATTATATGCTCGATAAATAAAGGAGAAGATTTCTTACTGACGCAAGGAAGACCTTTCGGCCGACGAATCAGAAATAACAGCCCCAGTCAGTATTTTCATAAGAGGTAGGTAGGGCCATATCCATAAATAGGGTACAGTTGAACCGAATATATGTCAGACAACTCGGTTGTCGTCGTCACAGCGCATTCGCGACGATCAACTACATGGTCATGAACATGGATATTGTTCAACTACTCAATGAAAATTGGGAACTTGACGCCAGTATCTCAACTTGACGCTGAATAATCTCATTCTTTTTCATACACATCGAGGAGCAGCTCCCTTCTACATTTTTTCCCGCAGCTACCTCTCGAAAGAAAAATTGAGCTCTTTAGGCCTTGATGGCGTAGATTTGGAAAGAGCCTAGACTCATTGTCAACGAGATATTAATTTAAAGCAAGGATCAACGGGAGGGTAAACTGACCAACCCACTCGTTAAAGTCCAGCTCGGTCATGGCAGTGGCAGTCGCGGTTCCGCATCCCCCGCCGCAGCACGAGCCACAACCCGAGCCCTGGGGCAAATACGAAGACTGCTTATAGAGATTGAGATCCGACTTTGTGTCCACAATCAGGACACCTGCTACAGGGTCAGTACTTGGCACTCCACATCGCGGGGTATATCTACCTTCAAAGCCGGCCTGCCCAAGGAATTCCTCATATTTCTCTACCAGACTCACACCCGCCACACATCCCACATACAACGCTATGTCTCCGGTAATGTGGTCGGGAAGCGGCTTTCTCGCAAAAATATCGCTGACTGCCAACTCTGTCCCGGGGCTTCAGAAGGCGGGCCATCTCCGTGAAGACGGCCGTTTTGTCGGCCGCCGGGACTAGGATAATGACGCAGTTGCTGATGATGCAGTCCACGCTGGCGTCGGGCAGCGGGATGGCGGTGATGTTCGCTTCGATGATTCTGGCGTTGGACAGTTCTGCCTTTTGAATGTTCTTCTCGGCGAGCTCGATCATACTCTTTTGTCGGACCATGTCAGTGCTCCGCGGGAGAGAAATGCACTGGAAGCACACTCACTTTCGTCATGTCCACCCCGATCGCCTGCCCCTTGAGGCCTACCTTCCAGGCGGTTGGGAGGACGTCGATGCCGCTGCCGCTGCCGAGGTCCAGGACCGTCTCGCCCTGGTACGAATGTCAGTCCAAAATGTAGTTAGTGGCTGTTATCGCATAAGGGCCATGCAGGGAGATTAAACCTCTTTGACATTAGCGAAGGCCACGGGAGTCCCACAGCTAAGGCCGAGGTTAGTCTTCTCGGGCAAGGTACTGAGGTCTTCGGCACTGTAGCCGAATGCTTTGGCGATATCGTCTTCTTTGCCGCGCTTGGGGGCAGTACTTTGCTTGGCGATGTCGCCGTAGCGGGACTGCACCAGATTGTAAGTATCTTGGGACATATTGCAGGCGAATGGTAGGAATGAGAAGTAGATTGTATGTCTGATTCTGTGATCAAAAGGCTGAGGGATGGCAGAAGGAATCTGAATGCAGACCGGGGGCAACCGTTTGTTTTTATTTTCACAGTGGGCAGGAATTAATAGTTCTTTGTATTAATAATTGATCTGATATGGTTCATTTGATGTCTTTCATTCCTGGTTAGAATTGGCGACCTCTGCTGAGGTCCTAGGATATCTTTCAACCTAGTATGTCATCAGTTTGGGCATGAAAGTGGTATGTCACCACCTTCAGCCCATTGGGTTACTACTAAGTATTTTCCCCGCAACCAAAGAACTTTATTAACCAACAACAGTCGAATTCACCCCAACCAAGCAACTTCGTTATCCGACCGATCGATAACATCTGCAGCTATGCCACTCTTTTTTTTACCCATCGCAACTTAAAGATCGTCATCTTCCTGATACTCACAGTAGAAGAACGCGGAGGGATTTGGTTCGGCACTAACTACTACCAACATGCCACGCATCAAAAAGAAGACCAGAGTAGGCTGATCGCAACCTTAAGTACTTCGTATTAGTAGGTGAGGCGATATCTAACCTCCCAGGCGGGCAGAGGACCCCGCCCGCGTCCGCAACAACCAGCGCCGCTGCCGACAGCGACAACGCGACTATGTGGCTGGCCTGGAGCGAAAGATAGCATCACTCGAGGACACCACGGCGCAGGAAAGATATTGCAGTCTACCCCAGAAGAGGGTGGGAAAACTATAAAGAAAGGATCATACAAGTAGCGAGTATAAAAGAAGATCAAAGAGTGAGGTTGTTCACCTACAGGCCCAGGGACTCATCGCCCCCGTACCGGCATTAGGGTTGATATCCCCCTGGGTAGAGCTTTTAAACGATTCAGCAATCATTCTTCCTCGGATTCCTCTACTGCGAGAGAAAAACAGAGATAATCCAAATAACCTTCCCGCGCAAAGCAACACATACTATCAATTAATTATCTCTTCGAGTCCCCCACACGATGCTGTACATACTGTACAGTTAACTTGACTGACTACTTGTTAGCGAGCGTAGAGATACTCAACCTTACCGCCCTCGGGGCAGCATCAGGCCTTCGCCGCGGTGAAAATTCGATCCGGCCGAGCTGCACGGGGTGGCAGGTGGCTGGTATTGGGGGACAGCAGATTCACCCCCGTCTTTGGTAGAGATTGCTTCGCATTGAATCTCAGGAGAGGTGGTTGGAATGGCCACATCGACTCCGTGTATCAGTGTCATGGGCTTGGCACGAAACAGAAGAAACGTTGACTCTACCATGCCGGGGATGAGGAAACTAGATTTCTAACCTAAATAGGATCTGTCAACCAGCCTCCCAGAGATACCGTGATCACAGTCGCTTTGAAGAAGAGGAAATTTCTCATCCTCACAGGGTCTAAGCCAACTAGTATGTAGGTCTCTGCCATACAGCCACCCAGATCGGCCACCGACCTATGCTGGTGTGGTGTCGAGCCAAGGGTTCAGAACCTAACGTCAGGAGATTCCTGGTAAGGGTCGGCGACTATTGTCCCACACCGGGGCGGAGTTCTTGTGTGATCTACGGGAGGAAGCGAGAATGGTATCTACTTGCACTCTTCGTCTCTGTGAAATAGAACTCAGCCATGAGGAGCCAAAGTTTTTACACTTCGGATGAGAACCGTGCCAAGAGATCAAAAAGAGGGGGCGAAATCCGCCGAGACATGAAACCATGAACCTGGACATGCAATAGAGTTGGGTCTGTTGAGGCGATTGGCGAGCACTAACAATGTCTACTATGTATCTTGACTATCCCTGACTAAGCATAATGTGAACAATGTGAGAGAATCGATCCGAACACTATATCATTGTATTTCGCACAACTACGCCCTGCGAGCACTGCGACGTAGTGGAGAGCTACAGGACGGCATGGTGCCAGCCCGTGACTTGACGAGCAATCGCCCCAATGCTCCCAGATTGCAGGATCCATCAACAGTACACATGAGGACCAGCTGACAGTCCTTCTTGGAGGCACACCGGGCCGGCTACAAACACCCTCAGTGAGATCGAGTACCGGCCGACCGGGCCATGCTCGACCCTGCATCTTCCCCCAGCAGTGATCAAAGCTTGCTGTCACGCGCCGGGAACCGCCGATGGGGAGAGCTCTTCCAGCGAATCACAGCATTGGGTGTATCAACTCCTTTGGCGGAGCCAGAGATCTAGATGCCATATCCATGGGGTGGTTCCGTAGCCCCGGGTTGACTAGAAGCTGTCGGAGGCAGTGCATGCATCGGCCGCGGAGATTTGAGGTCGTGTTCCCGACCGTGCCAGGGTCGGAGGTCTTGGAAGCATAGGAGGATTTTCACCAATCCCTCACATCTGCCGGCAAGATGAACGATTTTTCCGAGTGAAGGAAGTCTTGGAATTGAGCATGAAGTGAGGCCAAGAATCGGCTGTTGGTGCATTACCTCATGACTAGATCAGCACGGGGGTGGATGTTGCATGCGATCGACACGAATTATCCTGCGGTCGCTAGTGCCATGCTTCAGACCAGCAGCTTCCCCCGCATGAAGCCGATCAATTCCCGATCGAGCGATCGTGCGGAGAAACTTCGATCGTGGTGCCTGCAGTCGCCCCTGAAGCCAGGATGTTTCAGCTGGGACAAACGCGGGGGGTGGATTAGGGTTAGCGTGCGTAGTGTGCCAAATCAATTGGCATCCGATGTCGCTTTGCGAGGCCAATCCTCACGGTCGCGAATCCGACCAAATAAGACTATTGGGATGAGCTGCTTGGCAGAAACTCAGCTTCAGCAGAGACCAACCAGAGGCATCGGCGTCGGTTGCAGTGGCAGTCAAATTGCCCATTGCGGGCAAGAGGACGAGCGGGCGAAGCGTCAACCATGGAATCGGCCGCGAGTCTCGCCCAGGTCGACGACGTCAGAATATCACCATTAAGCTTCCTTGCTCCCCTCTCTCTCGCTCCCTCCACGTTGAGGGAGGCGAAAAAAACCCCTAAACTCCCCTTAACCCTCTTCTCCTCTAATCCTTCCCTCTTCTTCGAATCCTTCTTTAATCCCTGCAGAACTCTTTTTTTTTTCTCGTGTTGGCTTCGTGTTCAGGAACATGGAGTGGTCGCATGAGCGGCGCGGTATAGACGAGAGAGCATCATAACCCTATCTTCTTCACACCTGACTCCGTCTTCTTCATCACCACCACGACACCTCACCCCTCAGACAGCCGGGGCACCAGCATTCCACCACCATGCGCAAACCCTCCCGTCCTCTCGTCGACCGATGAAACACACCCCGGACTGGAATGCAATGTCCGCCTTCGACCGCGCCACCCACAATGGAGGCAGCTTCAGCGCCGTGACGCCGGGCGACACGGTGCAGAAATACGTGATCAGCGCCTTCTCGGCGATCACCTGGTACAACGCGATCGAGCTGGTGATCTTATGCCTGACGACCTTCCACTCGTACCGGGGCTGCTACTTCTGGAGTCTGTTCGTGACCAGCTTCAGCCTGATCCCGCACGTGCTGGGGTACACGCTGTTCCTGTTCGCGCCGGAGGTGTCGCGGTACATCTCGGTGACGCTGATCGTGCTGACGTGGTACTGCATGGTGACGGGCCACTCGCTGGTGCTGTGGTCGCGGCTGCACCTGGTGCTGCAGCGGCCGAAGCTGCTGACCTGGACCCTGGGGGCGATCGTGCTCGACGCGGCCCTCTTCCAGCTCCCGACCACCGTGCTGCTGTACGGGGCGCTGGGCGGCGCCCCGCGCTGGCAGGCCGGCTACAACGCCATGGAGCGCATCCAGCTCGTCGCCTTCTGCGTCCAGGAGGCCCTCCTCTCCGGCATCTACGTCTACGAGACCATCAAGATGCTGCGCCTGCGGCCCGAGCGCCCCCGCCGCCTAATCCTCGCCCAGCTGCTCGTCATCAACATCGTCATCCTCGTCCTGGATCTCGCCGTCGTCGCCATCGAGTATGCCGGCTACTACGCCCTGCAGGTCATGTTCAAGCCCGTCGCGTACAGCATCAAGCTGAAGCTGGAGTATGCCATCTTGGGCCGCTTGGTGCAGATCGCCAAGGGCCCGAGTCTCAACGACGCCGATCCGTTGTCGAATACCAGTGCGACCAGTGCGTTTGTCACCACCCCGCAGGGCTGGGATGAGTGTGTCGCGGGCGCGGAGACGGCGACCACGGGCACGATGACCACCGTGGTCAGGCAGGTGGAGTCGGAGGGGTCCGGCTTGCAGGGGCGCAGTCCGGTCAGGTCGCGGAATAGTTTGATTTCCGCTTGCTAGATCTTTTTGAAATAGAGAGGTGAATTGGGTTTACATTCTCTCTGTGTATTATTCACTACATATATTGTGGAGTTTTAGATTACTGGGTTTTTCCAGAACAGCCACTAGGACAAAGAGACTGATAGAGGTAATCTAACCTAGCAAAGCTAGGCACTTTTTTATTTTTATTTCATATTTTTGTGTCAAGGTGTTATGTCAAGTCGAAACATCCATTCGACATCTCATTCCCATACCCAGAGGTGAAACTAGTTCTCCCACCCCGCAATGCGATCCACCAGGTTCGAAAACGCGATCGGCGTCTCGCGCACATCCAACCGCGGCCCCGCCTGCTTGGCCCACGCGCACTCCTCGAGCAGAAACACCCCGTCGTCCCCACGATCGAAGTCGTACATGCGCACGCTCGACCCCGTGGCGATCCCCAGGTGCAGATTCGCCAGCAGCCGCGTGCGCGCGCGCTGTCGCTTCCCGCCATCCACGATGCGGTCGGTGTACCGGTCGACCAGTTCCGAGATCTCGTGCAGCGCGTGCTCCTTCACGTCGCGCCACTCGATCATCGCGGCTTCTTCTTCCTCGTCGCCGATCCCCGGGAGGCAGTAGAGGAGCAGGAACGGGAGGGGGAGGTGGCCCGGCAGGGCGCGCGTCATGACCAGCGTCAGCATCTCCGTGGGGAACATGGACACGGACCTGCAGTCGTGCTTGGTCTGGATTAGGGTGTAGGTTGGGATGAGGGTGGGGTCGGTGATTTCCCAGGGTCGGCTGGGAGGCGGGGATGGGGAGTTGAGGGTGGGAGAGGCGGAGGTGTAGGGGTCTGAGGGTGCCTCTTGGTTGGATGGGGAAGAGGAGGAGGTCAGGGATGGGGCGTTGGAGTCCGTCTCGGTGCCATCGGGCGAGTAGATGGCGGTGCCCAGCTCGTGGACCACGATTGGAGCGGCACAGCTTATGGTGGAGGCGGTGGATTCTTCGCTATCAGAGGATCCGGTTGCTGCGCCATGTGGGTGCACAGGGCCTTCGGGCTGAGTGCTGGCATCGCTGCGCGATGTGTCTTTCTCGTGGCTTGCTGTCGAACGCATGGCAGAGAGAACCTGACGTGGGATCTGCATGGGCGGTCCGAGGTCCCAGGATGGGTCCAGGAGTGTATAGGGCTGCAGTGGACGTCGTGAGGTCTTAGGGTTAGCACCAGGGCGGGTCTGGGACCGTCTGATAGGCCCAACTCGGGTGCCCTCCCTTGCAGCCGCCAGGTACTGGCGTATGAACAAGGGCGGTGGATACGGGAGTGACCTGCGAGCAGCCCGGAAAGGAATGTCCGACCCACTGCTGCTGGCGTTGTTCACCGAGTCGCCGCGCTGAGTGGTCGATGCCGGTGGAATGCTCATACCCAGCCTGCCGGCTGTGGGCTGGTTCAGTATGCCATTGCGTGCTCCGAAGAGATACAATGGCGGTGGTGGCGGCGGCGGAACCGAGTAGGGAAGGAGGCCCGGAGGAGGTCGAAACGGGATGTCAGAGCCTGAGCTCATGCCTTCATCGTCAATGTCATCATCCAACTCGGACAGGTCGGACAGATCGGGGCTCTCTGGAGGTTCGGTCAGCGGGCTATTGACGGGGCTAAAAGCGAGGCTCCAGTCATCAAAACGTACCGCCAAGATCCTTCGCCACATCTCCGCGGTATTCTCCATCTTGCACACGACTTCGGTCCGGGTTGTGATAGCCAGGAAGTCTTTGATCACTGGGGTGCTCCAGAACGCGCTTGCGGCCATTGGCGGAGGCGGGATCCTGAAATTCGGCATTGGATCGCCTGCCTCATAGGTAGGGATTGTCGACATTTTGCGGTCGTGGATACCTAGTAGTCAGATCGTGATTGAACAAACAAGTCGTTTTATCCGCGATCTGATGAACTCCGTGCGAGTTGACGTTACATCAATAGGAGACATTGAAAAGGATGCATGGGAGTATTTATAATGGGGATTGGGTAGTAAGGGACAGCTTTTGAAAGAGATCCTAGAGAAGGGAATGAACCTCTCCGGCAACTCAGCTTCTTCCTGGTTGAGTAACCAGGACATTCACCTTAGGAAATTGAACAATACATACATATTGGAGATGGAAATATTCTCTCAACAAATGTAGTTCGCCGACCTAGCATAACGGCAAGTTATGAAGGACTTCATTACTGCTTCTGCAGGGCCGCAAACAGCACTCATTGCCTCATATGAATCTTCTGATCATGATGGAGCCGGAGCATTCCTGAAATAAATTCTGTGGTAAGAAAAAGCACAACAATGCTTCACTCCGTGTTCCAAGATTCCCTTCTGAGCGTGCTCGTCGTATATCCACACTTCGGGATCGGACTGACCATGACAGCGCCAGTGGTGATTATGATAAGCTCCGTCATTGGATTCTTACATTTTCGTTTGATGGATGCCCATCGACGAGATTCTGAAGCGGGGGCTACTCTGATACTCATGTAGATTTGAAGGAGCGCCTTGGACAAAGAGGCAACTAGGCAGGTAGGCATAGAATGAGGAGACCGATCAATCACACGTTAACACTGGCCTACCATGACTGAGCAAAGGTTGCGAAGTAACTGTCTAGCAATAAGAAGATATGCACTAGGACCACTCAGGAAAGACAAGCATCCCCAGTAAAGACCTACCTGAGATGCACCGTAAGCTCGAAGAGGCTGTGAGGAGCATCAATGGATGGATCGTTATCATGAGAGGATCTCCACTTCAGGAAAGAGGGACCAACAACCAGCCACAGTACTAATGCAGTGAGAAACAAGCAAGCTACATGCTTCTTTCATCACCCACTGACAAGGCCCGACGAACCAACACATCCCCGGATTGGGGGCCAAAGGCTATGCGGGATGGCTCCAGCCTCCAATTCCAGAAACTGGGCTGAGATAAGCTGTCCTGTAGATTAGCAAAGCAGTTTGCAGTAGTCTCTGCGAGGCGATGATGCTGGATATGAATTTCATCGCAGAGTCTGTTTGCACTGCGATAGGAACCGATCCGGGCCACCGGCAAGCATGAATCTGTCTGTGCAAGTTGCCAATTGGCACACCGGCGTGGTGGATCGATTAGTGTTCTCGTACACTATCTCGCAGCTCTTTTAGTTATTCGCTCTACGACAGAAAGTGACTATCTTCTCGGGTGCCAACCTGGTCATTGGAGTCTTGTACTCTGGGCAATTATACTGGTCGCAAGGCAGAATAGCTGAGCTGCTTATATCGGTCGATGTTCGGGGGGATTCTCCGTAGCCAACAATCTTCCCAGCCAGTGAATGGGTGGGAATAAGGTCTGTAGCTATTGCAAGGATCGACCAGTTTGACAAACCAGGGTCGAGGTAGAAGGGATAAGCGCTAGCGGGGTGAATGGGGGCGAGGGCTCGAAAGCAAACGAGGCGCGGCAACAGCCGGGAACCAGGGTCTTGTTTCTTGTTGCTGAGAAGCATATGATGCAGCAAAGACTCATGCAAGGCCAACACTAGGGCTTGGATAGAATGTCTACTTCTAACGTTGGCAAAATGCTCAAAACCGTAGTCCATTCAATTGAACCCGTTTTGTACAGTACTTTCAGTCCTTTGGTTGGGCAATTGTAGCTTCAGTATGTGGATATATAGAAGAGACAGTCTTTGTCGCGGTAAAAGAATAAGAATACTCAAAGACAATACTAAAGTACTCCATAGTGCGTAGTGTTAACGCTCTCTGCAGGATGATCAGAAATCTACCTAACCACTCCGTAGGCAGCCCTGTTCTTGATTGAGTGTGGAGAATCAGGGGCGGACGCTAAGAATAGCCAGCCAGTGACAAGGAGTGGGCGGCCGATCGGATCGGCGGGCTCAGCCTCACATCGGGATTCGTTGAAGCTGTGCTGTTCGGTTGAAACTTGAAAGCACTCCCAGCCACCCAACACAACAATCGTCCTGTCAGACCCTTTGACTGGCGGGGCTTGTCTCACTTCATTGCCCACCTTTGAGTGATGGGTTTGATGGAGGCGTTATAAAGCGCACTGCACGCCCACGTCCACTGCTCTATCAGAACCCAACTCCACCAACACAACCAAACAGACACTACACTTCAAATCCACCTAATCTTCACATCCACCTTTACTGCTTACAACACCACCACCACCACCACCACCACCACCACCAAAAACAAGACCCTCAAGATGCAACTCTCCACCCTCCTCACCACCCTCCTAATCACAATTGCAACCACCACCACCGCCATCCCCACAATCCCCAAAAGAGAAACCCTGCACCCCCTCCAAATCACCGCCCTCACCGCCCGCACCCTCTCCGACCTCGACTTCGGCCTCCTGAACCTGACCCTCTCCGACCCCAACACCGACGCCCCCCCAACCATCTGCAACGTAAACTGGTGCGTTCTTTCCCCCTCTGCCCCCCATTCCCCTTTCCCGGCTAACCTTCTGTCTAAAAGGCACCCCACACAACCCGTCCCCGTCTCCACGACCGTGAAATGCTACAACCCGGCCTACGAGGTCAGCTTCCCCGACGGATTGGGCAGCCACATCGACCGGTTCACGTTGCGCGTGCAGACGAGCAACTCCAGTCTGGTGGAGCAAGGGGAGGTGCGGTTGGATGCGTACGCTGATGCGTCGCAGTGGGTGTGCCGGAATCGCACGGCGGAGTACATCAAGATGCAGTGTGCTTATTCGGGGGTGTTGGAGGTTGGGCTCTAGTGTTCGGGAGGGAAGCATGGGGTTAGGGCTACGGATTGATGATCGAGGTTTATGAGTTATGAGGCATGGAACTTTTCGGAAAGGGCATTCATTAGATTGTACTAGGTACTAGATTTCGAGATAACATTAACTTGACTAAGTAGTATGCTGAATTGAGCATCAATATAAAGGAAAAAGGTCATGATCGTCGAACTTGAAGCGTTGCTGGGGCACCTAAACCCCCTCCGACTTCTTCTTCGGCCACTGCCACGTCCAGTTGCGGATATAATCCGGATCCAACCCGTCGTCGAACGCCTTCTGCTTGGCGATCAGCTGCATGTTCAGCAGCTTCTCGCGCACGCCGGCGGCGGTGTTGCCCAGCGACTGGGCGTGGTCGATGGCGTCGATGGCCAGGCTGTAGCGGTCGGTGTTGTTGCGCACGGCCAGCTCGAAGGGGGTGTCGATGTTGCCCTTCTCGCGGTAGCCGCGGACGCGGATGTTGTGCTGGCCGGGCCGCTTGTAGGTCAGGCGGTGGATGAGCCAGGGGTAGGAGTGGAAGTTGAAGATGATGGGCTTGTCGTCGGTGAAGATGGACTTCCACATGCGGTCGGACATGCCGTGCGGGTGGTGGATCTTGGAGATCAGCCGGAAGAGGTCGACCACGTTGACGAAGCGCACCCGCAGCTGCGGGACGTGCTCGCGCAGCAGCGCCGTGGCCGCCAGCGCCTCGTGCGTGGGCACGTCGCCGCAGCACGCCATCACCACGTCCGGCTCGTGGCCCTGGTCGTTGCTCGCCCAGTTCCAGATCCCCAGCCCCTTGGTGCAGTGCGCGATCGCCTCGTCCATGTCCAGGAACTGGATGTGGTCCTGCTTGTCCGCCACGATCACGTTCACGTAGTTGGCGCTGCGCAGGCAGTGGTCCGTCACCGACAGCAGCGTGTTGCCGTCGGGCGGCAGGTAGATGCGCACCACCTCGGGGCTCTTGTTGGCGACGACGTCCAGGAACCCGGGGTCCTGGTGCGTGAACCCGTTGTGGTCCTGGCGCCACACCGTCGCCGTCAGCAGGATGTTCAGCGACGCCACCTTCGCCCGCCACTCCACCTCCAGGCACTTCTCGATCCACTTGCAGTGCTGGTTGACCATCGAGTCGATGATGTGGATGAACGGCTCGTAGCTGTTCAGCAGCCCGTGGCGCCCGGACAGCACGTACCCCTCCAGCCACCCCTCGCAGGTATGCTCGCTGAGCATCTCCATCACCCGGCCCTGCATCGCCAGGTTGCCGCCGTCGTTGTCCTCCTCGAAGTAATCCGCCAGCCACACCTTCTTGCCCGCCTTGTAGATCTCGGACAGCTTGTTGGACTCGGTCTCGTCCGGCCCGAACACGCGGAAGTTGGTCAGGTTGCGGCCGACGACGTCGCGCAGGAACTTGGACATGTTGATCATGCTGCCGCGCACCGAGACGCCCGGCTCGATGTCATCCAGCGCGTACTGGCGGAAGTCCGGCAGGTCGAGCGGGCGCCGCAGCAGGCCGCCGTTGCCGACGGGGTTGGCGCTCATGCGGGCGTTGCCCGTCGGGGCCAGCGCCTTCAGCTCGGGGATGAGCTTGCCGTCCTTGCCAAAAACCTGGTCCGGGCCGTAGCTCTTCATCCAGTCCTCCAGCACCTTGAGGTGGGCGGAGTTGGTCAGCACGTCGGTGATAGGGATCTGGTGGGCGCGCCAGAAGCCCTCGAGGAGCTTGCCGTCGACCTCGCGGGGCGCGGTCCAGCCCTTGGGCGTGCGCAGGACGATCAGCGGCCACCGCGGCCGGAAGGGCTTCCCGGACTCGCGCGTCTGCTGCTGGAACTTGCGGATCTCCAGCACGCAGTGCTCCAGCGTGGCGGCCATGGCCTGGTGCATGCTCTCACGGTCGCTGCCCTCGACGAAGTAGGGGGTCCAGCCGTAGCCGTAGAAGAGGGCGGACAGCTCCTCGTGGCTGATGCGCGCCAGCAGCGTCGGGTTGTTGATCTTGTAGCCGTTCAGGTGCAGCACCGGCAGCACCGCGCCGTCGGTGATCGGGTTCAGGAACTTGGTGCTGTGCCAGCTGGTCGCCAGCGGGCCCGTCTCGGCCTCGCCGTCGCCCACCATGGTTAGCGTGATCAGGTTGGGGTGGTCGAAGACGGTGCCGAAGGCGTGCGAGATCGAGTACCCCAGCTCCCCGCCCTCGTGCAGACTGCCCGGCGTCTCCGGCGTAGCGTGGCTGCCGATGCCCCCGGGGAAGGAGAATTGCTTGAAGAACTTCTGCATCCCCACCACGTCCTCGGACTTGTCCGGGTAGACCTCGGAGTAGACGCCCTCCAGGTACGACTGCGAGAGGATCCCGGGGGCGCCGTGGCCCGGTCCCGAGATGAACAGCACATCCAGCTCGTATTTCTTGATCAGGCGGTTCATGTGAATCCAGGTGAAGGATTGGCCGGCGTCGGACCCCCAGTGGCCGAGAAGACGGGCCTTCAGGTGCTCTTTCTTTAGGGGTTCCTGCAGCAGGACATTGTCCCGGAGATAGAGCATGCCCAGGCACAGGTACAAGCTGGCGCGGAAATAGGCATCGGTCTTGCGGATCTCCTCCGCATCGAGGGGCTCGCCCTTGATGGTGGAGCGGGCGGCACCGTAGGCCGATATGCTCAGCTCGTCGGAGGGCATTGTGAAATGGAGTGAGTGATTGCAGGATAAGGGATTTAGGTGATGGAGGGGAAATACTCCTTGGGTGTGACAGCTGTGTTCCTCACCTCCATCTTTATATGGTCTGACAGTGAAAGCACTGCTGCATCATCGACCGAATCTGGCCGGAAGTCCATGACGTCGTCAGGGCTGGCCACGTTCGGAGCTATTCCCCTTTGGGGCATCTGGGGGGGGTTTTCCCTTTCGGCCGCATCGGTCGGGATCATGGATTCTGGCAGGTTTCTGTCCTTCGGTTACGAGACGGTTCGACTCGTGACATCCTATCAGAGGCTGCATTCTATAGTGTTTACACGGTCCAGGGAATAGATGGTGACCGGGGGGTCCTCGTATGGGCAGGGTTGACGTGGAGCCATCTATCTCACTGCATCACCCCATGCGGTTGAGATCCCGCCTGCAAGATATACAACTACCATCTCACTTTTTTCCGTGTGAGCCCACCCTACATCAGCCCTGGAAGATCGGAAGAGAACGGGCAAAACAGCAATTGAGACTCATAACAAGAGCGCCACGGCGGTTAACCCATCGTATCTCTCTTCATGCTACGTGATCAACATGTCCACACAATGCGACCGTAAGCTTCGGAGTGACAGGGTGATCGTCTCTATAGTCGGCCCGCTTATGGCCAGGGTTGGAGCAGCACATCGCCCAAAACAGTTCCATTTCCCCTCATCTGGTACTTTTGCCAGCTTGGAGGGCGCATCTGGCCTCTCGCTTATCTCTCTTCCATGGATCTCCAATGCCGTGCTGTTATTGCATGGAAAATTTGGAAAGTGCATAAGTACAATGCAGAGGTCTAATGCATGTCCGCAACGGTTCACCACACCACAGGGATTGAGGAAAGGGGAAAGGGGAGCCGCGGTCCGCCATGACGACACCTTCAGCAGTGCAACAGGAATGTGACTATTGAGTTATGATCCCTCGCTCGGAAGGTGGGGTAATTATCCTGATGTATGACATTTATGAGGGGAGAAAACCGTGGAACAAGGCAGCTGGAATTGCATTGCCAGGTGTGTTCGAGCCGAGCAATTCCGGGCGCATCCGGAGGCGGACGGACTTTCTGGCCGTCCGCTCTTAATCTGATCGGATCTAGCTTTATCTCCCTCCGGTAACCCTCCCAAACAACAACAACAACACCCTCGACTTGAATCAAATTGGTTGTTGATCCGGGGTTCCAACTATTATACCTCCTTGCTCACGTCGGTGGCTTTGATGCAATCCTCCAAACAGCAGTCCTCAAACCTATCGCTTGGTCACAGCCGGCTTGAGCACAGAGCATGATGTAGACGAGTCTCCGTACAGACTAGGAGTATGGACTCTTGTCTGCAATGATACATGCATGATGTTTACACTCTCGCTTATGGCAACTTCTTGTCACAAGTCAGGTGGCTGACCAAAATTGAAGGGAGCTCAAGATGAGCGCAACTTCCTGTCGTCAGCAGCGTTCTCGGGTACAAAGAAAGAGAGAAAGGGAGATGGGGGCATTCATGCACATTGACACAACAGAGTTCTAACAGACAGCCAAAGAAAGGAAATAAGGAAACAGGGAAAGGGAAAGGAGATAGAATGAAAAATCATAAGTATAAATCACTTGGATTGTAAGGCAAAGTACACTAACGGCAAGACAGCGGTGTGAACAAGAAAAGCGCCTGGAAAAGAGGACTTACCAGAATGCCGCCAGCTTGAGGACGGCATGCACCTCCCTCGCCAGCTGCTGCACAATTTTCCCCACCCGCGCATGATCGGCCGCCAGGCAGAGGAAGGGGTCATCGCCCTGCTCCGGGTGGACGCGCAGTGGCAGCGCCGTGCGGTCCTGCATCTGGCCGCCCTGCGGCCCACTCCGATCCCACGTATAGATGCCGACCCTGGAGCCCCTGGCGAGGAAGAACGCCCGACACGTGCGGTGCGCCTCGTCCGTCATCCCCAGCTGGGTGACGATTTCGCGGCACTCGTCCAGCGACGGGTCCGGGTGCTCCTTGTCGCCCCAGGTGCAGAAGACTCGGATGAATGGGTATCGGACGAGTTCCTTCACCGGCTCCTCCTCCTCCTCTCCCCCTTCGTGTTTTATGCGTGGCTCCTCCTCCTTGTGGATGAGGGTGGTGCTGCTCCGAATGAGACGATCCAGAGCCCTCGCGCGCTCCGGGAAGGCCTCACGCACCAGCCTCGAAGAGTTCCCGGGGATCAGATCGATCACCACGAGCGCGCAGTCTGTCAGCGGCCAGAGGGGCCTCCCGACACACTCCGAGAGGCGGAGATACCGGACGACGCCGGTCAAGGGGTACCGCGCGTTGTAGATCTCCGCCGCCACCACGTTCGCGGGCAGGGTGTCATCGAGGTTGTCGGGGAGGGTCTCTCCGTCGCCGGCGAGGCCGAACGTGTCGCTGAGCAGCCGCCCCCAGAGGTCCAGGGAATGCCCGGGCCGAGGTATCCACCACTCCTTCTGCTGGTTTGCCTTGGCCTTCAGGATTTCCTCCCGGAGGGGTTCGTCGTCCCAATAGTTCCCGGACTTGGACTCCGCGACGCATTCGCAGCGGTTGGGGACCGTGCGTACTTCGGTGTATGGGGATGTGGACAGGGCAGCTTTGGTGGACGAAATTGTGGGTGTCCTTCTCTGTATAGGGGGTCGAAATGTATGTAAGTGGCTGATCGTGATGGTGCGTGTAGGAATGGAGTTCTCGTCGAGACCGGAGACGGGGATGAGTGTGCTTCTATTTATATCCATTCCATAGGCACAACTGATCCTAAACATCTTGGACCTGAAGGGTCTCGAAAGGGAATCCCTTGGAGCTCCTCGGTTGAAAAGTCGAGAACATCAAAGCGAGGCGATCATGATCGTTGCGATGGTCATGAAAGACGTGTCGGGAATTATCTTCGATGCTTTGTCGTAGCACCGACTGTGTTGCAAGCATTCATTGAGGGGTCAGGTCGTCTCCACGGTCGCGACTTCGACACGAAGGGTTGGTTTGACCAGCTGGAACGATGATATCTCAATCTGCCCTTGAAGCACGTGTCTTGCGGGCATGATGAGGTAGAACGGTGATTGCTTGTCAACTCAGATCCCGGAGGCTTGTTTAGCACGAGCCGGAAGAGAGGTCTATCTTGCTGACGACTTTTCGCGTAGAGATGTATCTTGCCGTCTTCTCTTAGGGGGATTGTTGCAGAGATGAGACAATGAATCGAGAAGGAAAATCTCTGCCTTGGGGAAAGAAGCCACTGGAGATAGCGTGTGCTGCGTCATTACAGCAACACCACAGTACAATGCGATGGCTCATTGACAAAGCCAATACTCATGCTCGAAGCACTCGATTGCTGGACTTCGCTTCTTTGTTCTTTGATCGCGCGCCAGTTGAAGGTACCTCAATGCAGCACAGGCGGGGATCTTCACGGAGGGGCTGGCTGGCAGACCTCACTCTCCTAACATAGAGATGTGGTTACATGACTCAGGGGTGTATCGATATCATATGAGTATGGAACCATGGTGCAGAATGACTTTAGAGACTCTGGTTGCATACTCGAGCCTGAATCGACACACCACGTTCGAAGGACGACTGATATCGCAAGAAGTCCTCCTGCAGCAGTGAAATCTTACATTCAAAGGCACAGCACGTGGACGGTTCTAGGAAAGAGTGAAATAACCCCGAAGGCGAGCAGCGTCTAGGCAGTGCACCACCAATTTTACTCACAGCAACAACAATCATATTAACATCGACAGGCCCACTATACAGTACATACATCATCAGCAGTCATACGACTACCCCTACTTCGTGAACTTTTTTTTCAAGCCCGAAAGCCAGAATACGCCTTCCCGTTGCCTTTGCCCTTCCCCTTCGTCTTCACGGCGGAAGGCTTCAGCAACGTAACCTCATCGCCGACCGACCCATCATCCCCACGAATAAACTGCCACTTGACCTCCGTCTCGCTCTTGACCGTCAGCTTGCTGAACCCGTAGTGCACGGTATCCAACACGGCCGTGATGTTCGTCAGCCCCTGGCCCTCGCTGAACTCACTGTGGCTCTCGATGTTGCCCGCCATACCATTGATGATGTGGGTGATCGACTTGCCATTGTTGGCGATGTAGGTGTTGTTGTTGACGACGCTGGCGGTGTCGATGGTCTGGTTGGCGCCGAGGGGGTACAGGCGTTCGTACCAGTGGATGTGTCTGTTGTGCTGGGTTAGATTGTCTGCAACCGAGACAAGGCGGGGGTTTGCGCCCGACAAAAGGGGCCAGACTTACCCTGAGAAGTAAGCATCCACGCCATACTTCAGCAATAGGCTCTCGAAGGCCTCGCGCACGTGGAGCTGGTACGACGAGTACGCCGAGCTGTACATGGGGCGGTGGCTCATGACGAACACCCAGGGGGTCTTGCTGCGGTCGACCTTGGCCAGGTCCCGCTGCAGCCACTTGTACTGCGCGTAGTTCTTGGTGTCCTTGTAGCTGCCGTCCACCGCGCCGAAGGGCCCGCTGTCGGTGATGAAGGTCTCCTCCGCCGTGGGGTGCGTCTCGTTGCCCTTGATGTCCTCCGCGAAGGGCCACTCGGGGCTGTTCGCGAAGTCGGTCTCGCCGTCGATCGAGACAAAGTGCGCCAGGCCGTAGTCGAACGAGTACCAGAAGTTGCCCACGCCACCGGTCTCCTCGCCGGGCATGCGGAAGCGATGTTGGTATGCAGTGAAGTTTCTTGGATCGCATTAGCACGTTAGTACCGATCATAATTGGGGAAGCGGGGAAGTGCTCACCGTTGAGAAGGCGGACAGCTGTAGTAGTTCAACTTATCCTCGGCGGCAGTGCCGTTGGCGATGTCGTCGTTCAGATAGGCCGTGAGAATGTTGCCTGGCCCATCGAATTCCGCGCATGCGGCTTCGTGATTACCCGGCATGACCATGTATGGGATCTTGACCGTCACGTTGCTGAGCCACTGCTGCCAGAGGTCCCAGTTGGACTCGTAGATGACGCTGACATCGCCACCCTGGGGGCCACCCTGGTTGGGGATCTCCCCCGCGGGGAGCGGCTTCTTGTACTCGTCCGGCAGCGGCAGGTTTCCGGGCAGCTCCGTGCTGGTGCCATTGTAGCAGACGTCCCAGGAGGACTCGCACGCCAAGGTGCCTTCATACCAGTCGTCCGCGTAGCTGATGTCACCGCCGTGCCAGGCGAAGGCCGTCCCCTCGTTGGCCGCCTTGATCAGCTGCTTCTGCGTGCCGTGCGCATTGGTGTAGCCCATGTCGTTCAGCACGGCGACGCTGAAGGAACCCTTGTCACCGGCCTCGCGCGCGGTCTTGAAGCTCAGCACTTCCGACTTGGTCGTGCCGTTGGCGGCCGGGATCTGGTAATAGTAGGTCGTCCCGGGCTCGAGGTTTTCCAGGCTAACTTCGTGGAAGTACTCGCTGCACTGGGTAATGATCTTGATTTCGGAGCAGGACGGCGTGCGGGCATAGCTGGTCCGATGTTAGGGGGTTTGCTTTCTCCCGGGTGAGTGCACGGGATAAGACTTCAATGCTTACGTGTGGGTATATCCGCGGGCCACCTTGTTGAGCTGGTGAGGACTCTTGCCCCAGATCACGGATGGGGTCTGTCCTAGCCCGAAGGGGGTCTGGTAGTGGATGTGCATGCCCTTGGGGATGTACGACAAGGAGATGACGTTCACATTGTTGCGCGGGTTGGCGCTGGCGGGCCGGACGGCTGGGGGCTCAATCAGACGCGGAAAGCCCTTTCCATTGCCATTGACAGTCGGGCCCACCCAGTCTCCCACGGGAACAGCCGGTCCAGTGTATGGATAGCGTTCATCGGCGACAGGACGTGCCTGAGCAAGCGTGGCGGAGAGGGCCACCAGCAAGGCAGATGTAGCAGCGGTCTTCATGGTCGCGTGCCTTTAGCTCCGTACAAGAATGTTGACGGGGGATGGAATATTCAATTGACGTGCATCTGCTCAGGCATTCGATAGCGGCATGACCACGGTCTTTTATAATTTTGTCGCTCGGCATGGCTATCGCATCGGTCGTATGCAGTAGATAAGACCGCAAAGCAAGGCACGAGACCACACGTGTAGGTCCCCAGAACAGCAATTGGCCAAGCCCTTCGGTTAGAGCAGACGATTGAAGCTGCAGCAGACTGGCCATAGAGACATTAGCGTAATTAAAAGCTGATAAAAAGAAAATGCTGGTTGGTGATAAACCGGGCAGTGGGGAACAATCAATCAAGCATTGCAGGTACGGAGGAAAAGGCGGAGATTCCCGACAATGACCATGTGCCTGCATTGTTCCCCTTTCATTGGTCAACAGCTGCCAGGCACGGGCCCATGGCCTTAGGCCAGCAGGAGCAGAACTCCACATGCTGATTGGACCCAGTTGGAAAGCCCGTCTGCAGTGTGCTCCACCCATTGTTGATCCAATCATATCGGCTTCAAGGTTGAAGCTGAAGCTGTTGATTAACAGGGGTCGCTGCCTAAGGCTGCAACTGCTGAGACAAATCACGCTCCCGTGGTAAAACAGCTCGAAGTCCTGAGTTAGTTTATACAGCAATCCTATATTTCTCCTCTGTTTAGAGAATTCTAGAAGCTGATCGGGATTCAAACTGCAGCAGTGAGATGCCGCGACCACCCATCCGAGAGCCGTAGCGCCAGTACTTCAAGAGTTATTGACGAGGCGCGCGGTCGCCAGTTATACTGCGAAAGACTTCTTCTTTGACCCCGGCGATGGAAGTGACATCGTCATTGGGAATATTTATAGTGTTCGGAGTGAATGGGACAAGTTCTGTGTAGTCTTCGTCTCCACGGCTGTGGCCCATAAGTATTCAGGCTACAGCGACCATGAGCTGAATGAACACAATACCGAAGACCACCGTGGCTGTCATTTGGTACTGTGACTACAGTCGAAGCTTGAGGCAGGCAACGTCCCAGGTCTTATGCTGGAGTGATTAGATATACAGCGTAGATAGATGAAATGATGAAGAATGTTGTCCGGTGGAAGAAGGCCCCGATGGATGCTCACTTAGGTTTACTGGGAGAGACCTAGGAAAGTAGAACTGTGGGGCTCCAGCAAACAGCAAATACTGTCAAGATCTGTTTCTGATTTGTAGCTAATTATTCTATCTGGTTGCCTTGTGAGCGTACTCCCAGGCCTCCTGTTCGTCCAGACTGGGCTCACCGTCCTTCGACAGCTCGCAACCAAACAGCATCCCATCATCCAGCGGGGGACTTTCACTCCCACGCATCGCCTCCCACGGCGGGGAGGCCTGCATGCGCGCCTGAATCCACTCCTCCTCCGAGAACGACGGCTCATCCCACTCCAATCCGATTCCCAGCGGTTGGAGATCCTCCCGGAGTCGGACTAGACGATCCCACGGATACTCCAGAAGCTCGTCGAGACAATGCGGCTCCGGTCTGTACCCAACGCAGATCGTCTGGAGCGCGGCCTGTTTCGCCCATGCCGCGCGGGCCAACTCCAGGATCCAGCGGGCCTCGACCTCCCCGAACGTGTCACAGGAATCCACACCGTGGACACTCAGGCCATAGTCCAGATTGAGGGTCGTGAGACGGGGCGCGCAGAGAAGAGCGTCCGCGTGGGCGGGTAGAAAGATGAATGGCGGGTCTCTTTCGTCCTCCTGCTGCCAACTACCATTTCTTCGGATCTGCCACCAGGGCAGCGTTAGGCGCTCCAGGGCGACAAATCCCCTAGTCTGGAAAAGCTTGCCTGAATGCAAAGAATCAATGTATCTGATATGGATGGATTGCAGGGTGTCCTTGTGGGCAAAGAGCCATGTGCTGAGCATCGAGAGATCAACCTGGCATCCCGGACCGCTATCCCACAAGATCGAGGCGTCGAAATGGATCAAGGCCTTAGGCCAGAGAATCAGCTCTTGGAATGCCGCGGACTTAACATTGTAGTCCTGAATATGAAGGCTGGAGAACTGAGCAGTGCCCTTCGTGCTATCTGGTTGGTAGGAGGGCCTGTTCGCCTGTCTTTCTGCCCTTGCAGTGCGCCCCGGGGTCTGAAAATCAATTCCACTAAGCTCCAGTTGGCGCAGGTTGGGCATCCGCACAATTTCGAGTATGTCCCGGACGGTCAGGCCTTCTCCCATACGGCTTAGAGACAAAGTCTCCAGTGCTGGCATGCTCCGAGATGCCCGGTGAACCAGGCCCCACGTTTGGTCCGGGTGACGCTCCCAGCCCCCACGAAAGGTCAAGGCTCTGACATTAGTGACACAGGTGATAATATCGCACGTAATATACAAGTTGCGTCTGGGGATATCGATGGAATCGTCCATCTGAATCAAAAGTCTTCTAACATTTTCACAGTATAGTGGCCGTTTTTGTAGCACGGCGAACAGAGCTTCTAGGGCCCTGCCGGCCGCCACATTGACCAACACGTCACGATATAACAGAGGAAGTACGATCTGCGTGAGGCGACGACAGATGAACGCAAACTTTCGCAGGGTCCTCCGGGTCTCGTGGTAGCTGGAGGCCACGTTTTCGAAGATTAAAGTTAGAATCTCTGTTGGAAGTCGTAAGATCGGTGGGACATCCATAACGAGCGGAGTTAGTTGACTCTCAACACGCCCTGAAAATGGTAGTTCGGATTGCTGATTGATGGGGACTGGCTTTACTGAAGTGTAGCACAACTTGACTTATCTACACGACGAAACCATGTGCCATTTTTGAACACATGTTAGTGAAGGCCGGCGTAGGCAGCGACAAGAGATGCCTAGACACCACGTGACTGCCATAGTCCCTTGCATGGATATTGCACCAAGGGGGCCCTATTCGACGAAACGACTCTGCTCTGACGGTGGGCAGGGATTAATTCTAGAGCCGGCGCCAGCAAATTTCAATCTCAATTCTCTTCCGATAGTAGAAGGCATGGAAGCACTATAGGTATCCCTTATAGGCACGGCATCTGAGTAGTTATACTCTGTCTATGAACAGTGTAGCAGAGCCGATCACAGGGCAGTGGGTTGGCGTTGTAGAGAATCTCATTGACGATATGTCTTCTGGGAGCTTGTTCTTCTCCTACCACAAGCGCGGTAGTATGGAACAGGTCGGTGGTGGGAGATAGTTCAGCTGCTGTTTCGGCACGGCGCAGACCCAGCGCGGGCCGCATGGTGCACCACGAGACACGAATTATAATTTCGCAGACTTTCTAGCCGACAAGGGGGCGATTGTTAGTGTTGCCGAGCTAAGCAGTGCGGATCAAGCTCTCTTAGATCACGCAGTACAAGAGCGAGCGTGGGATACAGTGATGACACTTACTCGAGTCAATTGGTCTATGGAAGGATATACCGGTCTAGGTCTGATGGAAGACGCTCACAATCGGACTTCCCGTACATTCCACCATCCAGCAGACCACCTGCAACGAGACCCAGGATTTGCAGGAGACCCACTGCGCATGGAGGACTATATCGGCCACTGTGCGATACGACCAGTGTGATGAGTCTGTACACTCCAATCTATTACGTATACAAGCAAGTCAAGGCATTCACCACTATTAAGATTAGTCCGAGGTTACTCGCCTCTATGGAAAGCTAGGGCAAGAAAGTATATGCTACTTAGGTCTGCGCAGAGATGCATTGATGTACATAGTGTAGCCTCTATACCGCACATATAAAACAATTTACTATAGAATCAATGAATATGGTCCGTGTCATCCTCGTCTCCAAGCCGCGGTCCAAACCGATTTCTCTTCTCACGTCGTTCTCGCTGTCGAGTCTGAGCCTGAACCTTGTTTGGACGGCTGCCCTGACCTTGAGATTGCTCAAAATTCCCGCCATCTTCAATATCGCGATGCATTTTGTTCACATTCATTACCCAGCGCTGCAGAACACCATCCCCTTCTTCGACGGTAGCCAGCCGTCGAGCGAGCTCCTCCACAAACGCCACACTCCGATGACGGCCCTCCTCGCAACATATTGTCACCACGATCTCGACATCTGTGCCGTCGCCGTCGGGCTCTTCCCTGGAATGGCCATCCCCAATCTGGGGCGTATCAGTCTGCGAGGCCCCCTCATGAATTTCTTCCTGCGCTGTGGAACGCAGCGGCTGTGCGCAGCTTTCTTGGACCGCATTGACTATCTCGTGTTGGACCTTGACCAAGAAGGCCTCGACCGCATCATTCTGGAGGAACTCCTTCTGCAACCGCCGCGACAGGCCGGTTGCTTTGACCCGCAGATGGCGGGGTGGGTTAGGCAAGTGTCGAATGTTGTAGGCTAAGGTTTGGTGATATCGGGCCTTCCGAGGTTGTTGTACCACAGGCCCGTTAGCATGGCCATATGAGATGAGGGTGATTTGAACTGGTCTTGTGGGGCTGAGGGGGCCTTCCATCTTAGATTTGACTCGTGCGGTCTTAATGTGATTGAATAGGAATGAAGAAAAATGGAGGAGTGAGGGGAATCATGTTCCCTTGCTGCTGTGAGTCATTCTGTGTAGTAGCTTAGTCAGACAGGTCAACTGAACTTCCTGTAAGCGCTAAGCAAGTCGGCTAAAAGAATAGATAGTCTATCTCGATACTATTCAGATTTGGTGTCTATGATGCAAGCCAAGGTCTGTGGGTTAAAGGGTGTCATAGTACCTGCCCCTGAACATGCCTTGGATGTGCACTGGCTGGTCTCACGTGAGCACAAAGGAAGTTCAACAGAAGGGAGAAGGGGCGAGAGAAGTAGGTTCTTTAGGGCTACCTACGTCCTGTTCGCATACACATGGCACCTAGAGCATCTCCTCTTTTCAGCATCCACAGAGCATGGCATTCCTTGACTAGAATATCACACATACAGATCAAGCGGCAATGCTCCAGTATCAATCCATAAAGCCTTCATTCGATAAACATTATATTATACTATCAGAAAGTCTCCAAAATTAAAGAGATTTAGGATCATAACCGTATGGCGACCACATCCTTGACACTACTGACCTGTGTATGTTCCCCAAATACACCGTTCTCCCTGCTCCTCAAAACCGAATCTGCCAATGTCCGCTCACAGAGCCATTCGAATAGCCATCCAGCGTCCGATTCACTGCATCCACATCCAACCCCTCGATGACCGACGATTCCGTGGGGACGAGCTTCCCAGCCTGCACCCACTCAGTAACGTGCTCCCACAGCGGCGCCGCCGTTGCGGGCCGCACCGCCGACAGGCCGAACACATTCAACGTCTCAAAGCCTGCCGGCTTGGGCGCAGACAACCTGCTCTCGTCCACGGGACCCGTAGGAAGCAGACGAGCCAGCTTGCCCTTGTGGGTATTCGATAGGGCCTCCACGCCAATATACTGGTTCTCGGGCGGATTGATCGCGTCGTATACGTAGAGCAGATCATCCCCGACGATGGCCCGCACCTCGGCCGCGATCTCCGCGCCGGACTTGTCGGCGCGATCGATGACGTGCGTGGCCCCCAGGCGCTGCGCCTCGGCCGCGCTGCGCGCGCTCCCCACCACAATGATCCGACCGAGGCCCGCCAGCGCGGCCAGCTGGATCCCGAAGCGGCCTGTGTTGGAGCCCCCGCCGATAATCAGGAGCGAGGTGGCGTGGTGGTCGAAGTCAGAGGAAGTCGTTGTCCAGGGTGCTGGGATCCCCAACGCGCTGGCGTCGAACAGGGCGACGGCCGGGGCCACCAGGTTGGTCGGCAGCGTGGCGAGTTGCGCGTCGGTGAAGCCCGCCGGCACCTTGGCCGAGTAGCGGGCGTCGAGGATGGCGTACTCCTGCAGTCCGGCCGTGTCGTTGCTGTTGGCGAGGGTCAGCCCCGCTTGGCCGACGATGTGGTCCCCCTCCTGGTAGCGGGTGACGTTGGGCCCGAGGCGGGTGACGACGCCGACGACGTCCGCGGCCAGCACCGCGGGGAGGGACTCTTGGATGAAAAGACCGTAGTCGCGCGATTTGGCGTCATGTGGATTGAGGCCGGCCACGGTGATTTTCACCAGTACTTGGTTCTCTTGGGGCTCGGGGATGGGCCGCGTGCCCTTGGTCAACGGCTTGCCGATTTCCGTCACCAGCAGTGCGGTCTGGGTTTGTTGGGACATTTGGTGTGTAGGTGTGTAGTCTTAGGTTATCGGATGTATGAGGAAGAATGGGTCGTAGTGCAGAGATGTTGTGATAACTCTTTTGGACTGAGGTGGTAAGCTTCTTGCTGGATGTATTATCTGGTGTGGTAAGTTGTTCCTCTTATATGGAAGCGGGGCACCCCGCATCAGCCGTGATTATCAATCTGTGCGCGCCCGGGCTTACCAATCGGCATTGGATCATTATTTGCGTGAATGATGATACAATCTTTATTCTAGTAGGATCTTTCATCATCTTACACGAGTTCTAAATCCTTCTTTCTGACTCAACAGGATTATAATTGTCGAAAATAATATCTGACGTGCTCAATGGCGTGCGTGATACAGGAGATAATTCGCCAAAACTGCTGTGACCTGCGTGATCCATGCCAAGGACATAATCACGGTTGGGCCAGCTGCACTGGCACTGTTCAAATGTCAAATCTCATAACAAACAGGAAAGATTTCTTTCTTCACGTATAGTATTCGATTGCCCTGTACATCAAATGCGTATGTACATAACATTATTTTAAGCTCCGCCGTCACGATCGGAGGGAACTATGACGAAGAAGAGACCAAGTAGAGACCAAGCCCGAGCGGAGATGAACCAGTTTTGAATGGCAGGTAGTGGACGCTTGGCCTCAGATTGAACAAGAGGACCTGAAGTTGGAACGTTTCCCGCGGGGAATATGCGTTTCATGCGTCGCATGGATAAGCTCGAACCATTGCACTTTCAAATTTTCACCCCGGATGATACCATAGAGTCCCTCCTCGCCTTCTGCGCCTCTCTCTCCGCCACAAGCACCTTCTCCGCATGGATCGAATCCAGATAGATCCGAACCGCCCGCAGTGTCCCGCTCGCATCAAACTCGCAATGCCACGAGTACTCCTGGTCGTAAGTCAAGCCCAGGTCCTTGGTAGTGGTGTGGACTGACCGGAGCTCGACCGCCGCGCGGCCCCGTCCGTCACAGACAATACTGTCCAGGCCCCGGGGCATGTTGAAACAAGGGCCCGGCGCCGCGATCAGCGTCGAGTTCGAGCCCCAGATCTCGGCGAGGAAGGCGGCCTTGGTCCACGACCCGGAGAAGGGATGCTGCCCGGTGATGTGCCATGTCGAGTCCTCCGGCGCTTCGAGGAAGAATTGATCGTGGCCCGTGGGATAGTCGCGGAGGTGGAGAAAGAGTCGGTGGATGTCCTGCGCGGTTGGGTACCCTATTGCTGTATGGACGATTGGGGCTTTTCTTTTCCTTTTGTTTGCGAAATGAACTGTAGCAAAGGGAATCGGTCAATGTATTTGGCCCTCCCAACGAAGGTCTTTTTTGGGATCGCTCACCGACACGAGGGGTTGAGGTAGATGGGAATCTGAATAAATGCTATGGCTTTAGCTTTGCTTGAGCTCAGCGAGTATCGGACATAACCCGGCGGGCCCGTTGTGTAGCCGCTCAGAGGGAACAGTGTATACAAGCAGTATCGACAGATTTCTTTTGTCGCGAAGGACTATCCATCAAGTCTGATAAAGCCGCGTAGAATGACGGCGGGGAGAAGCACAAAATCTGAGGGGGTGCGGGGAGGAAGAGAATGTCACGGGGTCTTGTCTACAGAGGTACTAAAGTGAAAGATAAGCTCACGGTATCGGGCTAAAGAGGTTCTAGACCCTTATAGTAATCACCAGGTCAAGGGTGGGGCGACACATAACAATCCTTGTTAATTCTTCGGAGCGCCGGTGGGAGTATGAGATAAGTATACTCTCTGAGGGATTAGTACAACTTACAAATTAATCTTGGCTTATCTAACTACCAGTATCTTGTCAAGTCCTTTTCTATGAATCTTCTCTTACAGTTGAACTCGGAAGAGTCATCCATGCGCTGCATGTGTTGTAGTGGGGTAAAATTGGACTGGAAGCATCTTCTCCAAAGATCTTTTTCATCGAGGTTTCCAGGGGTTAAACAATGTTTTTGCGTTGGGACCACATGGTTGTCTGTTTGGTTACTCAATGGCCCCCTACCATAACTCTGGAAGGAAGCTGTGACATAATTCAAGGTTGCCACAAGCGGAACATTAGATGCCACTTAAGACCATTTCGCCCTGTAGGGTAGGTCGAACTACAATTCCCTCCTAGCAATTAGCACCACAAGCACAACCCAACTGACCCCTCATTTCGGCATTGCCGAGGCTGTTACGGTAGCATTGTCAAAGCAATGCAGTGACCAATCGTTCCTGGTGTGGCTTTAATAACTCGAACTAGTGGGAGTGTCTGCTGCGCAGGGACCCGTGATCCTCAATGCTATGAACCGGAACCCTCACGCCACTCACAGATGCATGATACGAATTCCGCACTCACAAAACTATCAAGGTGGCAGTAGATATAATCCACTTTCCCTTCTCCTTATTCCCACCCTAATCCCCACGAGGCGCTTCCCACTCCTACTGACCACCATGCTTCTGAACCCGTTCCGACCATGTGAAGGCTCACCAACCTTCCAAGAGGAATACCGGAACAGTATTTACGTCCCAGAGGTGATTGAAACCGCGTTAGGCCGCCAGGTTGTGGCGCCAGCTACCCCCTACGTGGCTGCCGCCGGCCCCAACGCCCTATACTTCATCGACACGCGATTCGACCCGGAGACGGCCCAGCACATCAAGCTCCAAATCGAGAAGGCCTCCGTGCCGCAACTCGACGAGTACATCGCCATTGACGAGATCGAGGCCACGGCGGAAGTGAAAAACCGGGTGACGGGCGAAACGACCTTCGTGTTCGACCCCCGCTATGCGCGGGTGCTCTTTGCCAGAGGCATGAACCGGCACAATCCGGACCTCAAACTCCCGGAGCATGAGTCGGCCGGCGACTGTTTGGTGACCTACAACCTGGATACGGTGGTATCCTGACGACGGCAATGCGGGCCAATATGTTCTGCTACCATTATGGCTGCTATACCCAACAAGAACTGCATGTACCAGACGACTGGAAAATGTAATATCTGTGGCGAGTATCGGGTGGACAGCGAGTGTGCCAGCATGCGGTCAAATGCTATCGGGATATGTCACCCACTCTGCTCTAGGGCTGTCGACACCCCCAAGGAAGATGGAGAGGCGGATGCAAGTTACTATCGGCGCATGGGCGAGTGGCACTGGGAGCCGCAAGATGTTCGATAGGCTGTTATGGGGGATTAGGGTCTCAAGGCTCTAATGGATGGGGGGAAGGGTCTGGTGTTGGGTATTCCAAGAGGCAATTAGCCGCGTCTAATAGCTGGATTAAGTACGGCCGAGCGGAAGGGAAGCTCTGTTTCCCACACCTTGGGGTCGTATGCACTAGGACTTATTATTGTTTGTCTTATGTACGAAGCA